AGAATTTTTTTAAAAGACAATTATTAAAAACAATTAAATAAAAAACAATAGACAAGTGTGAAAAAAAATATGTACTCAGTGTTCCCTCTTAAATGTCCCAGATTTACGTGCATAAGTTCATGTTACATGTACATGTACATACCGGTACATGTATACATATACGACTGCACATTTTCTATATTGGGCACCACATGACTGAGTTCAGGATGCTATTAGTTTGCTGTCCCCGGTACTACCAGAGACCTATTAATGTCCCCTTCCCATGCCCATCACACTTAATTTCTACTTGCAGAATTCATCATTTCCCGCAAGAGCAAGACTGCCAAGTGCCTGTTTTCACATAACTAGCCACACATGTGCAAATTGTACCTGTGTGGATGTACATGTACATGGCGTGGGCAGGCCATCACCGGGTTATGGGGAAGTTTTTTATTGTTAGGTAGGCCTATATTATAGCCTTGGTCAAGGCGCTAGTTGTTATTCATCCGGCCGTAGCACGGTAAACGATATCTTCGCTAGCGCTATGCATGCAGTCATATGTCTAAGCATGCAGTGCATTAAAAATACCGCGTGAACAGCGACCTTACGCGGCCACTATTTTTATGCAAATCAGTTGGACCCGATCTAGCGCCTTGGTTCAATCGTCCATGTGAGGTTTTGGGGGTGGTGCTCATTATGTTAATAGCCTTAGCTGACTTTAAATGTCGTTTTCTTATTGATCGATCGTTGCGTGGAAACTTGCATAGTGAAACGTGGCACCGTACATAATCCATACACGTACACATTGTGTGTCTCTGCACACGGCACCAATGCACAAAAACTGTGGTTGCTGTCATGTCCGCAAAAGGCGGAATACATGTAGCTGCAAATAATTTGATGACGTCCGGATTTACCAAGGTGTGATTGGACACTCCACATATTAGCCCCGCCTACATTATCTGTATTCGCATACGAGGTCGTGCGCTGGAAATCTAGCGCAAAGTAAAGAAAAACATAAGCTTTTGCCGACGATTGAACCAAGGCTCTCGATCGTCCCCAACTGATTTGCATAAAAAAATAGTGGCCGCATGAGGTCGCTGTTCGCGCTGTATTTTTACATGCATGTGCATAGCGCGTGAGGATATATGCCGACGATTGACCGCATACGGGACGAATAACGACGAGAGCATTGACCAAGGCTAGGTATATTAGGATTGAGTTATGGGGACTTTCTGCTGTCCCCACAGTACGGTACCATGGGACAACCAGTGTAGTCCCCACAAATACAGAACAAGTGTGGATTTATGTGTACATGTACAAATGTACAGTATACATGGTATACAATGTACATTGTATATTGTGCTGTGGTACATGTACATTTGTAAACTATGCACTATAATTCTTACATCAAGTATATTTTTAATTTGTACAAGTACCGGTACATATGTACACGTATACATGTGTACATTACATGTACATGTATGGTTTCCCATCTCTGATATTCATTCAATCCAGCCCAACCCCATCCAGGGCCCATATCCTCCCTGTCCCATGCCCATCTCACCCCTCCCATCTCAAAACTTTTCATCCCATCCCAGCCCACCCCATCACATCTCATCTCATACATGTACCGGTACATGTACATGTACCGGTACCCTGTCTTATCCCGGCCCACCCCATCTCACCCCACCCCATCCCATCCCATCTCATCTCATAATAGCCCACCCCATCCCATTCCATGCAAATCTCCACCCAATCCAATCCCCATCTCATCCTTTCCATCCCCACCCCATCCCATCACTTTCCATCACATCCCATCCCAGCCCATCCCAGCCCATCCATATCCATTCCCATCCCTTCCCTTACCATCCCATCCCATATCCCAGCTCAGCATGTCCTATCCCATCTTATCCCATCCCATCCCATTCCATCATATCCCATCCCTTCCCTTTCCATCATATCCCATCCCTTCCCTTTCCAATCCTATCCCATCCAATCCTATTCCATCCTATTCCATTCCTACCCTATTCCACATGTTCCTTGGGTAATTATCGGCATTCCAGACCCCAACTTGTCTTAAACAGAGTGTTAAACACCTCCCAAGCACACATTTATTCCCTTATTCAAGGTCGAAGATTCTTAAAAAGAATTTAAGGTGTGTACACTACCACACAGGGGGAGTGTGTGGCCTAGTGGTTAGGGTTTGTGACTCATGATCAGAGTGTCCGGGGTTCGAATTCAGCTGCTGGTCATATGTTGTGTCCTTCGGCAAGCCACTTCACCCCCACTTGCCCCTCTCCACCCAGGAGTATAAATGGGTACCGGCATTAGCTGGGGAGTAACCTGCGATGGACTACATGTAGCATCTCATCCAGGGGGAGTAGAAATATTCTCAGTCGTTTCATGCTACTGAAACCGGAGATAAACACGGGCCTGATGAGCCACATTGGCTCGCGACAGACTCTACTTACTTTTACTTACTACACCACCATGCACAACACTAGTCACGATGGCCACTGGTCAGTACTGGCCATATATCGCGCAGTATTAGTGTGCGTGACTGCACTGTGTAGCGGGCAACGAACCACGTGCCGAAGTAGAACATTTTGAGAAAACACGCTACGCTGTATCACCTCAAGTACGAGCGGTACAACCTCGAAATAAATACATTAAAAGAAAAATACATAGGGGCCTACACAGAAAAAGAGATCACGTTCTGTGAATTAACTTGCAGAAATATTCGTTCTTCATTGATGTTTTTTTGGCATTTTTAAGATGTGAAATTTGACCTGTTACATTATGTCGGCCATAGACTGATTTCGGTCATTGACTTTGGCCATTTCAGTGCACAGGGTGAACCAGTCTAACATTGCTGCATGCATGACGCACATGTTTGGATGTGCTTTCACCACTGCGAAGCCTTGCTGAACGCATGGTGGAAAAAAAAAAACTCAGGTTTTGTTCCGAAAATAGCGATTGTAAGTAGGCAAACAAACAAATATGGACAGCAGAAATATGTTTACAAGCATTTTTGACATAAAGGTTGTTGAGTTCTAAGCATTTTTGTGAAGACAGAATTTTTTTTTGTATACTTGCCGATAAAAACTTCGGGTAACCAAAAGCAGAGGTATGTGGTTTTTTTGGCCTAAAAACATGCATAGTACATGTACACATGTAATGCATTGTACAAATGCAAATTATTGATAATATACAATGTACATGTATACAATGTACATACCTTTTTGTAATGACCTAAAAACTGAAGATTTCAGTGAGTAATTTCACAAAATTGGGATTTTTCGTTTCTGTTTTCATGTAGTAACATGTATACCAAAATTCAAACTTGGATTCGTAACAATTGAGCAAGTGTGAGTTTTTCATATTGCTGCTGGTGTTTGCACATACATGTAGTTGCTTAGCCCAGGTTGGTCTCCGTTGTGTACACGCGACGGAGTCCAGGGTATGAACGTCTGCTGCCAAAGCGAAAAAAGTTATAACACATGTTTTTCATATTTTTACCTGATGGAGGAAGCTGAAATTTCGTTTACATATTCCGTGTGTCAGAGTTATGCTAGAATGCTGGATTTACATGTAGAAAAGGTAAATATGTCTGTGGGCGGCGTGTTTACCGAAAATAAATTGCTGATCCACGCTTTTTGTTGTAAACATCCTGTCTGAATTTCTCGTGTGAAGACTTACATGTGCCCGTGCATGCATGCCCCGCATACATGGCATAGAAACTCTGGTGCATACGGGCACCTAAGTCTTCACACGGGGAGTTCATACTAAGAATGTTTTTGACGAAAGCATGGATCTGCAATTTGTTTTCGGTAAACACGTCGCCCACAGACACACCGGGCATATTTACCCTTTCTGAACGAAGCATATGCATGTATGCATAATTCTGGACACAAGGAATAAACAAAATGTATGCTTCCTCAATCAGGTAAAAATGTGTTAAAATTTGTTTCACTTTGGTAGTAGAATAAATACCCTGGATGTCGGTCGTAATGCAATGAAGACGTCGTCCAACCTGGGCTAATGGTTGCTCAGTCCACGAGACGCATGGTGATATATACCGGTAGGGCATGGCTTGGAACATGGGTTGATGTATGCAGTGAATAGTACAATGTATATGAACATGAATATGACTTCAATTTCCTTTATTTTAAGTTGGTACTGTCAGCCTCAAATATTATGTGTAGAGGGACTGTTTTGCAGAGGAGCTCAAGCAACCGCTTAGCAGTCGAGCGTCCGCTTAGCGGTCAAGCAACTCATTATGGAGTGTACACTGTACATAGGGTTTCTGATCATTAGTGAGGAAAAGATGAAACAAAGCTTCAACATTAAATGTATGTTTGCATGTACAAACAAGTTTAATTGTGTAGCCAAAGTATATTGACCTTAAATATACCGGTACGTACGTGTACGTACACGCAGTACGTACCCCCATCAGGAACAGAAAGGGCTCAATGGTACATGTACATGTAGATACTAATACATAAACATGTACATGTACATGTACTTTAATTACTGAAGGTCTCATTAAATTATAACAGTGTGCTAGCACACAGAGAAAACACAACACCATTTTTTCATCAAATGGAAAATGTACAAGTACAGTTCAAAAGGATGTTTACGGTAATCCTTCCTGATCCTTCAGAATTTGCAGGGTATGTACATGTACATGTATGAAGGAAGGTACATGGAAGGTACAAAAATGTACATGTGCATGTAAAGCCCAGCCACTATCATGCATTCATGGGCACATGTACTTGAACAACATTTGGGTAAACGTTTCTGAAAGTATGTACATGTATTTACAGACAACGCTGTAAATAATGAAAATATAAAAAGTGTTAATCTTTAAATGTTCAGTGATGTGTTTGGTGTCAACTGAAATTTTAATTTACAGTGATCGTGCCAAAGCTTTTGAACCTCTGATAAACAGCCAGTTAGCATTGTACTGTATTTTGAAAGTTGAAAACAGACCCATCAATCTTCTTCTGCTTAAATTTCAGGTCACGAAGCACTTGGCAGGCCCCCACTTCACAACCAGAATGCAGACAAATGGTTGACAACACCAAGCTGTCAATGTTGACTTGGCCAACGAATCCATAGCCATGGCTGAGCAGATCGGTAGGAGCGAGAGCGGCAGCAGCACTGGCTGTGGAGACAGCAGCGGTGGCAGCGCCCCAGGCAGCCAAGGCTCCTTTGCCGAAGTCACTGTCATCGACTCCCAGTTCCAGCACTTCAGTGGCTACATTGAGGTCCTGCGGGTCTTCAAATGCCGTCTCTGCACTTTCTGCAGCCCTCTGGAGCACGTCATTGCCAGCCACATGTCTGAGGTGCACTTCCCTCGCAGGTGCTTCCTCTGCAAGCAGTGCCTGTTCGTCTTCGAGGATCGGGCCCAGCTGGCTAGCCACCTGGACTCGGCCCATGGCACCAAGAGCATTGCGGTCTGCTTCGGGGACACCGCTGTGCCATCCAGTTACCCATCATCACCTCCGGCCAGCTTGAGGATGATGATGGGGACAGCTGAGGGAGAGGAGAGGATACAACAGCAGATGATGGAAGAGACGACTGGAGAGGAGACTAGGAATGGACGAGTGACATCCAGCACTGGTAACCTGGCCAATCTAGCGAACGCAACCCACAGTAGTCCACCTCAAGTAGATTCCATGGTAAGTGAGGTTTTTTTTGTGTGCTTACTAATTGTGTGAGATTCCACAACATTTAAATGAAGTTCCGGTAAATCATGCCAATCAAAAGATGAGGCTGTGTGGCCCTCTTTGTGGGAAGGTGGCTGTGCCACCTGTTGCAGGGCGAGGAACACGCTTTGCAGGGAATCAACTTGTTAACACACTGACACACATACACCTTTTGCACTTTATAAGTGATAAAAAACTTCGTAAACCTTGCTGCAAGATAATGATTTTATGATAACAATTCTCTGTCCATAAATATCTAAGAGAGATTGAAGTAAGCAGCCTGCTGAATCCTACAGGATCCAACAGTTAGAACAAAAGATCTGTTTTTCACTGCTCGAGTCAGCACAATCCAAAAGATATTTGTTAATTAAGATTTTGTTGGATTCAGGAGTGAAGGGTTGTCAGATTTAACTCCATTGCATCATGAATATCAAAGTTTTTTGTAAAACCAATGATATCACGTTTGTCATCCAGGTGTTAAAATTTAAATTTGAAAATTGTTAACAGAAGCATTTTTCATCTCAGGGAATTATTTCTTTTAATTTTAGTTGTGTGCTCATTGAAATATTCCTCAAATCCACTTTAAACACTGTATATTTTGAATTTTTTTGTCCCATTGTAGGAGCATACTGCTGCAGAATTAGGTGTTGCACAAGGAGAGGGAGGTACCTGTAGAGTAAGCAAACCCCCATCTATCGCTGGAGACACCAGACAGGAGCAGGTGCAGTCTCACAGTAGCTCCTGCCATCCCAGCAGCTCCAACCAGGCCAACAGCAGCCCAGAAATCATTGACTGCGAGGCAGTAATCACCAGGCCAGGGCAGCCGGAAGCACCCCCCACTCAGCGGCCACCATCATTGTCCGCATCTCAGGCTCCCAGCTCAGAACTTCGCGTCACCATTGGCAACACGTACTGTCAGTCCTACATAAAGACAGAGCCCATCAGCCCTGTCAGGAGTACCCAACCACAACCTGGGCAGAAGGCAAGGCCCTACCTTGGAAGAAGCCGGCACGACCCAAGATCCTACATGCGCCGCTGGTCCCTGACAGAGAACTCCTTGAGTGAAGACGGTGCAGTCAATACCCCTTTCAGGATGAGCCGCTCCTTTGACACACCAGGTTCTGGCAGTGCTTTGCAGGATGGCAGTGTAGAGGAGGACAAAACCAACTCTGAGAGAAATTCCATTGCTCAAAAGATTCCGAAAGCAACTCCAGGTAGTGCTGATAGTGAACATGGACCAAGGCAAAAAGAGGGGAATTCAGAAATTAGTAGGCCAGTGGAGGATACAAATGACAAGGAAGGTAGAGGTAAACCTGTCGAAAAGAGTAAATCTTTTGATACAGGTAAAACTTCCGAGAGCCACAATTTACTGGGTGTAAATAGGTCGTACATAAGTGGGAGGTCCCTGGATAGAAGGCCACCTCGTTTGGTTCGGCAAAATGTAGTGGAAGAGAGTCCCAGAAGCTCACCTCAACTGAGGGTGGTGTCGGAGGACAAGTCTACTTCACAGGAGCAGAATGAAATATCCACTGTGTCCATACCTTGTGGTGCAGCAGAAGCTATGCGGCGAGAGAATTTTAGCCGTAGCTTTTCTGGTGGTATTGGGAGACCTTCTGGGGAGTATTTGTCAAATTCCAAATCATCAGAGGGGAATGCAGATTTCCGACCAACACTGAGGGATCTTGTCAGCAGCAGGATGCAACGAGTTGAAAGGCAGCTGCCCCCATCAACAACAGGATCAGGCCAAGATCCAGGCTTACCAGTCAGCAGTGTGGCAGTGCCTATGATGCGATCGGGAAGGGTACGTAGTTATAGCATCAGCGAGGGAGACATGCAGGGATACCAGAAAAGCACACATCCCGATGGCTCTCCCATTAAGGCAGCTGACGGACACGCCGAAGCATCTGCTACAGAGACAGTCCATCCTTCTGCCGTGCATCATAGATTGCCTCCAGGCAATCCCCAAGTACCTCCAGTGCTTCATCATCATCAGTATCCAGGGTTAGTCTACCAGCCCTACTCCATTGAGGGGGAGCCCAAGCATATGAGGTACTATAACCAGGGTCCAAGGATGGCTGGTCCTGGCCCCTTGGATGGCCCACCACGCCCATTTCGGATGAGGCAAGAAGAGAATGGTCAGCCTGGCCCAAACCAACCAGTCGAAGAGTCTTTTCTCTACCGTTACCTACGCAACAACAACGGTCGTAAGTATAGGCGAAACTCCATCAGTGTAAGCACTTTGTCTTGCGATGTACCACCTGCGGGTTTGATGCCTTCACATGGCATTCCTCCTCGCGGAATGGTGCCTCATCCAGAGGGAGCAGAAATGATGAGCTTTGAGAGGCAGAGAGCATCGGCCTGGGTACCCCGTCATCACCCTGACCATCCCTTCCAGCATCAAGGACCCTTTCCCTCCCACATGCCACCTTATCCCATGGCTTGGAAAGATAAGTTTGATGCTAGCCAGATTTCTCCAAACGCCTCAGCTGGTGTCGACCAACGACATGGTGTAGAGTACAGTGGACCTTCAGACAGAGACCCTGCAGCAAGAGGTGAGATGGTCAATGGTCCCAATGGCATAGTCCTGATTGATGGAAAGGTCGTGAGACCCAAGCAAGGTGAAGGGGGTGAGTCCAACCAAGATCTAGCTAAGGACATAACAAGGCAGGTCCATGAGGCCATGGGAGTCGCACAGGGTCTGTACACCCCTGGGGATCGGCACCTGCTACCTTGGGTCGAGGGCAATGACCGGTCGGAATCGCCAGATGACCCTATGGATGGAGAAGGTCTCGGCCAGCGACGCAGCCGCAAGTCAACCTTCAACATCTACCGGGAGATTCCCGAACGTAAGAGGAAGCTAGACCATGATGAGGAGGAGAAGATCAAGCACAGCTACAATGCTGACGGAAGCTTTGACTACTTCTCTCTAACTGGCTGGAAGGCGTACAAGTGCGACTTGTGCAAGAAGCGCCGCTTCAAAACAGCCTCAGAGCTGCAGGAGCACAAGCAACGAAAGCACGGCTTGCAGAGGAACCACAGCAGCCAAGGCAGTCTAAATGGGCTTCCAGAAGCAGCTGCTGCTTTGACGGTAGTGGAAGCAAATGAGCCCAATGACTCCCCATCATCAGGTTGAAGAGATGCGAGGGACTGGATGTCTTTTTATTTTGGCTTGCTGTTGCGTATCTGCCGTACATGTAGGTAAAGCCGCCTTACCTACACAAGTTGACGAAATGTTGATGGTCTCTTTTGAGGCAGTTGTCATCGGTAAAGATGTCAAAGGAGTCCAAGAGATCATTTCCAAGATTGTTTTTGGTTGGCAGTCATTGGTTGATGCATTGACATGTCTTGCTTTCTGAGGGCTGCCCATTTGACCTCCATCTTCAAAAAGTCACACAAATGCAAAACTTTGGTGACCGATTTTGTCTTGGCTGTTAAGAAGGGTTTTAAGGTGGATTGATTGTGGAGAAATGTGTTACTTCACGGTGTTTGTCAATATGCACTTGTTTAAGTGAACCTTTTGTGCTTCCCACACAAACAACAATGCTATTAACCAGATAGTCCTACATCACATCAGTGTTTGCGAATTAGTCTTTTTGTTCTTGTCGCTTTTTTTGGAATGTTGCTTTTTATTCACCCATTTTAGAAAAGCCTAGGGTTTAAATACATGTTTTTAGGTCTCGCACAGAAGTGTTAAGTCAATCATTTTGGTTTTGTTTCTGGCATGATTGATGTAATGATTACTTGATGCTGGCACCTGGCACGATTGGAAGAGAAATGCATTGTATCTATTGATGTAAAACATGAAGTGAAATTGTGTATAGAGGAAATTTTAAAACTGGTACTTATATATTTTTGTTTACGCAAGAGTTTGAAAGCCTTTTATACAGCGATTACATTTTTTCCTTACTATCCATTTTATAGCGATAAAATGCCTTGATAATCAGTGCTTCTCAAAATACAGAGGGAAAAAAATGGTTTTACTCCAGAATCAATTGTTTTTTGTAACCAGGAAGTGAGTTTGCTGAGAGAGAAATACATGTAGCTTGGTATACATGTAGGAAGAGAAGCTCTTTTTTATGCGAATGGGTTTCAGCATTAGAAAAGGTTTGAGGGTTTTTTAGAATTGGATAACATTACGGTTGCACTGTCATATACATATGTACATGTACATTGTACATGTATCCATTCATGTACTGTACTTGTAGCATGGATACACATGTACATGCACACTTGGTTGGTACAATTAATGTACATGTACATGTACGTGTACATCACTGTTAAAATGTGCCATCTCATATGCATACAAGTCATGTACAATCAAAGGGGGTACTACATTTTAACCTCTAGGAGCACTAGATTTCAATTCAGATATTTTTTTACTGGTATCTAACATTTGGCCACTTTTGGTATTTTTTTTTTTTTTAAACTCAACTAAAACTTAAATAAAACTTTTGCAAATTTCAGATGTTGAACCTGACATGCTCATATTCTAAACATGGTAAACAAAATTCATCAAAATCTGAGAGAAATTGATTTCGTTATTATGAATTCTGTCTACAAAATAACCACTGTACACTTAACAACGTGTACCTACATTACATGCTGACATACATTCATGAACTCACTCAGTCTTTTATGCACACATTTACATGTATGTACAGGTACATTTTGTACCTGCGCATGATGAAGTACATTTGCTCACAGAAAAAAATGGACATTTGTCACTAGCAAAGGAAACATTTTTTTGTGTGGTTTTGATAGGATGGTTATTGGGACCGTTTGTAAGAATTCCTTCAGGCAACTCTTTTCTGTGGTCATGGATGAATTTGATACAATTTTTTCTATCATTTATAAAGAAACTATATCCATGAACTTGGATTTTTTTTATTAAACATTTAGATAAAGACTGGAAAAAAATAGTAATGTCTTTTTTCTCTAGATTTTTTTTTCTCTTTTTTTTTCAATTTTGTTGTGTAACACTCAGGATAAAAGTCACTGAATTTATACAAATACGTAAATACATGTATAGACACATGTAACTGCCTTTTGAATCAAGTTATTACTTTAATTACGAACCATGCGAGGCTGGGCCTTTGCAATTTTTTACAGGAGCAAAATATCTGGCTTGTTTTTGACGGAAAATCAATGTACAGAGAGTGTGTGTGTTTTGAACTTTTCTGACCACAGTTCATGTTATACATGTACTCATGTTACTGGGCAGAAAAGATACAATTTGTAAGTTGAACTTAATTAGTGCTTCCTTGAAGCACCCAGACTTGGTTACCTAAACATGTATAAGTGCATGTCATTCATTTTAGGGAGAGGTAGAGTTGTCATGGACACCAATCAGTACCATTTCAGAAGATTTATGGGCGTTGCCTGTCCTCATGTTTATGCATGAGTTCATGAGTCTGTAGAGCCAACTGTGTAAAACAAAGTCGATAGATCTCTCTCAAATGACGTCACACCCCCTACAGATTGTCACATGCATCGGCAATTTGGGCGTCAAATTTTCGTGACGGGCATCCACTGCACCGTATTTTGAAGAAATTTCAAGCATCATGCGCGTGTGTTTAAAACATTATGCGCATTGAGCGCACACGCACCTGATAACATTGAACACGCAGATTTTCCTACAAAGATGGCTGTCTATGAGAGGGGTCTACCGGTATTTACCTCTCAAATGTACTGTACACGTTCTTTTCAGGCAATTTCAATGAAAACCAGTCATTCGCAAATCAGAGTAGGCAAAACCCAATAAAGTTGGTCACAGAGCGATTCAATGAAAGTCTCGTTATGTACATGTAATCGTATATGATACATGTAGCACTCGGTGAGTGTGTCTGCGTGACAGTCAGTCAGTTGGATAGGCAAAAGGAGGACAGACACCAGCAAATAAGTCACACACATTTTTAGGTCTTGACTCGTTGACTTTACAGGTCATTGGTATCCCACAGTCTGGATGCTTCATTCATGTAGTCTTTTGTACAGGTATCAATTAATATTTGGAACATGTAAACTTGTAATGCCTATTGATATAAGCAGGTTTCCATAGCCACTATGGTTAAGCCTGGAAATTGCAATGTTAATTGACTAACTATGTAAATTTGAAACAAAGAGAGTTGATTTTGTATATAAAAAAACAACACTTTGTACTGCGAGTGGAATTGGGCCAGGTGCCCCTTTAATGAAACATGTATATGTACTTAAGGGCCATGCGTTTTTTTAAAAAGTATTTACTCGCATTTGAAAGATTTGTATCATTGTTCAGAACACAGGCTGTGCATTATTGAAAGGAAGATTTACGCCGGCCTTTTAGCATTAACTTTGACAAGAAAATTTGAGACCTTTTTTGTATATTTGAGAGGGTTTTTTTATTTGTGAGCAGAAACTTTACGGATTCTGAATGACTGGAGCGCATCACGAGCACTGCATTGTTGTTGCAAAGATGGCGCTTGCCGGATACTTTTTTTTTCTGTTCAAGATTTAAAGTGCATATGTATTTTGATGTATGAATTTTGTGTACATTTGCAGCTGAATCAACTGGAAATTTATTGCTACATGCAAGTTGATGTATGTATTTGTGATGAAGGTCCTTCAGTCCAACATAAATTATGTATTTAATGTGCGTACTTTGATGTGCGTTCCAAGGCTGAGATAAATTAGCGTATCTGTTACATGTGTATACATGTATTCGTGTATGTGTGCGTGTCGAGACGTGTGCACACCTGAGGACCAACTGTGTTCGTTTGTTGTTGTTAAATACAACGTATGATCCTCACAACTTAAACATGTATAATCAAAAAGCCACTTTATTCCCCACATGCATGTCATACAGTATAGTTAGATAGTGTCGTGTCACCTGAAAGTTTGTCATTTGATACAATTTGCCCCAAATGGAAGTTTGTTTTGCTTAGCCACGTACCTGGTTATCACTCATTATGCCAAAAAGATTTGAACAGGGATGTCTTGAGCAGTATGAACAATTATACTAAAACTTGGAACCCCTTGAAAAAACTGCTAAATTGGTGGTATTCCAACTGCACTGATGCACATATTCGCGTGAAGTTTGATCCGGCCGTAATGATATCGGATTGAAAGCAGTTGTTGGGTTTTGGCCTCATTTCCACATTCCTGTGTAGTGTACTTTTGATAAGGGAGTTCTGGCATGCGAATTTCAGTATGGAAGTTCCTAATGTCGGGTTCGTCAACCAAAAAAAAAAAATTGTGAGGAGAGAGTCGGCGTGATTTTCTGTAAATGTACGCACATGTATACGTACCGGTACATCATGTACAATACATGCAGCGGTCCAGAAATCAACAGACGCTCATTTTGAAAGGACTTGGTTGAACGGTATCTGTGCTTGATATCCCACGACAGTATTTAAGAATGTGCTTATCAAGATAGGGTTCTAGCATAGTAATCGATGTGAAAGGATTCAGGTAGCTTACAAGCACAACTACCCAGGAAGTTAGTAAAGGCAGAAAGGAAGTGGAGAAATGTTTCAAGCAGGTGTATTCTTGTCAAATAGAAGATAACCTTACCTATTTAATTGAACATTAATTCTTTTCCTTTAAGATTTTCTGGTAATTCAACGACAAAAAATGAAGATGTACACATAAGTTTCCCAGATGGGGGTTGCGGGAAATACTTTCTTCAAAAATTGGTTGCCTTCTAAAAAAATGATTTCAGCTATTTTTGGATTGGAACATTTTCTGGGTTATGTACATGGTTTGGCAGATCAGTGGAAAATGCGCATTCCCCCACAATGAACACTAAACAAGGTATCCAATGGTATGTGCTTCACTGGTCTGAATTTATCCAGAGCCATTACATGTATTTCCTTGTTGGACCTACATTCATGTACAATGTACTTCTCCATTTTTAGTTTTTAATTTACAAATGAAAATGATTTTAATGCAATATTTGTGCAAATCTTAAGTTGAAATCTAAAATGTAAAATCTCAGTGTTCAGATTTACTGATTTTAAAGAAAAATTCGAATTTTAATGTTAACTTATCTTTATAAATAAATTCCACCAATTGTAGAATTGTTTATCAGCAATTATGCAGAAGCGTTGATAGTGTATTCCAGACGTCAGTGAAATCAGGAGGAATTTATTAAACATACTGGAAATATGTATCCCCACGAATGTGCATGTTCCCCCCCCCCCCAAACCCCCCAACCCCCCCCCAAAAAAACATTCGAATATCTTTCAAAATGGATAATTACTTCAAAAAGAGCCAAACTTTCAGTAACTTGTGAAGTTGTTTAGTATCACTCCTGATAGACAGTTTTATTTTGCCATTTTTATTTTTGCTTTCTTTTTCCAAAGGCAAGCAGTGGTATGGAAAGTGAAAAAAGTCCAACTAATAGTTGAGCAGTTTTTCCCAAGTGAATTTTTGAACAGTAGTAGTGTTCTGGTCACTTTATACTGAGAAACACACTTATGTTTTGTATGTATTGGCGGTTCAGAAGTCTCAAATGTGACACTTAAGAAAACGGCTATTGAGGAAAACAATTATTGTATCTATATTGATTAAAATAATCAGATATTTTCTATTTTATTGATAAGATATTGAAGGATTTTTATTGTGCCGTGATGAGGTCATACCATTTATTGTGAAAACGGATGAACCATCACCAAAAGTATAAGTATAAACTTTAAAAAATTTAAAAGAAAAATTAACGTATGGAGTGCAGCCATTTGTGGCTTGGAATTAAAACTGGTTTATTTCAACTCCAAAAATGTGTGAAATGTGCGAGTTATTTCAAATTCAATGTCATGATTGTTAACCTTTCTCAACTTTATTTCCAGAATCGTCTTCAGCCTCGGTCTCGGAAGTAGACCCTAGAATGGTCTATATTGCTCCATGTACTCTGATTGGATCCCATGACAAGTACATGTATGGACGATATCTTTTGCTTGGTGATTTGAATGTTTTAAAGTTATATGTGACTCAATATCCGAGATTTTTGGATATATGCAAATGATCCAATTAATAATAATAATAATTCCGGAGTCTTGTATATCGCACGTACATGTATCTACCAACAATTAGGTACTCCAGGTACTGTCAATTCTGTCTGTTTTTAAAGACAGACCGTTTATGAGAAATATGAGACCCATTATGTAGCATCTTTATAAAAAGGTATACAAGGTGCTGTCGCGCATATTGCAGCCACTGCCAGAAGCACCGGGGCAAACCCCTTCTCTTAGTGTTAAGTGTTCCTGGGTTCTTTAACGTGCATTGGATTACACAACACACGGGACCTATGGCTTTACGTCCCATCTGAAGGTTGAAGCATTAATGGTAAAATGCCTTGCTCAAGAGCACAAGGACCATGTTCCCCGTCAGGATTCGAACCTGTGTACCTTTGCACACGAGTCAAACATCCCCCCCCCCCCCCCCCAACCACCCAACAGGATGAGATGGAAGCTAGTCTAACATGCTGCTCAACGCCATGAGGGACAATCACGACATGCAGACATACTGGTTTGTTTCCCCCAACACATTATTTTCTCAAATGACAGAGGTGATTGTCCGTTCCTAGTCCAAAAATTTATTTGGGAATCTAAATACTGTGAGAGTCCCAAAACTTAAGGTATAGACCATTATCATGTTGCGGCCATTTGGATTTTTCCCATTGAAATCAACGTAACCAAAGCGAGGCTGGAAGGGAAAATAGTCTGGTTCCTTTTTGCACAAAAAAAAAAACATTCAGTACTGTTATTGGATACAGGGAACATGACTGAAATGGTGGCAGTGTGATAAAGGTCTATTGAAAACATGAACACAAGAAAAAGACTGGCAGTCCAACACCCCTTTAGGACTGCATCAGTCGACTGTGTCAAAAGAAGCGTCTGGTACCGGTCTCAATTTCCACACATCTCCCCATGGTCTGCCACCAGCCCACTGAGTGAAGGGTCAATCTTTTCAAACAGTTGGACATGTGTACCAGTTTAGTCTCAGGCTTCAACATGAAATCAATTGGCTTCACTCTCCTTTGAAAATTGAATTTGAGACTTCAAACTTGGCTGGTGAAATACCAAGGACCTTGGCTTTACCTCATGAACAGTTTGGAGAATTTTGTCGGCTAAAGAGTGAGTACAGTTTTTTTCACATAAGTGATCTGGAAATGTCTGATCTAGACAGATCTGTGCATTAGGCAACTGGTACTCGTACATCCCTAAATACATGTAATGCATTGTTATCCAATTTTACCCAATGGCAGTGCATGCATTTTACAAACTTGCACGCATTCACTGTCTTACAGCCCAAATGCCATTTCACACACACACACACAAATCTCATGTACATTCATTGAAGTGCAGCCAAACAGTTAGAAATTATTATATTTTGTTTTATTAAAACAATTCCATTTACAATGATTCAAAACAATATACATGTAGTGCAACAACATACACCTACGTTCGTAATGGATGAGCGATTAGTAATACAAAATCCAAGGATACTGCAATACATATTTATTGGTTGCTTTATACCTAACTATACACAGCTCAGCAGTATGTATGGAATCGCGGCTTTATACCAGTTGAAAAAATCTAGTTTGGAAAAGAGAAAAATAAAAACGCATTCAGAAAATGCCTTGTATCGGACCATGTAACTACAGGTACCGGTGTCTCTGATTTTGGCTTCCGTATATTCACTTGAGCATTTCTTAGTCTTTTATATTCAAACCAACTTAAAAATACTTTTCGAACTTTGGGCTCATTACAGAGTTAGATGTCTTTGGGCCAAACACTGAGCCTAGTTCCCCAAGCCTAAAATGTACTGGAGATGAAACCAGCTTCTGGAAACTCCCATCAGTATCCGCAAGCCGTATGATATCCAAATTAAATGGGTAATGCTTAACCCTAACTCCCTGCTTAGTTTTAGTAGAAGATCATGTCCGTCAAAATCCATCGCTCGGATCTGCTTCACATATAAATGCATCAGGACCAAATCTGTTGAAATCCACCACTGGTGCTGGTGGATTTCGACGGACTTCATATATACATGTACATGGCTTACTTGCAAAAGTCCCCCAAATGGGTGGGGGTGGAGTTTGATGAGTTGGTGAGGTTAGGGTAAAGATTACAAATAGTGTGGTATCCAGGGCATGCAGGGTAATATACGCTCCTTTAACCGTAACTCCCTCATGATTTACTAGGAACCATACCCATCCTGGCAAATTCCAACACCATATGGGAAACTGCACACACATATAAATTCTGACTTTGATTCTGGAGGTGTGCCAACCCAATGTAAAAGAATGTCAGTTTAGGGGTACTGTACCCATCCCGACAGATTCCAACAATACATGCCGTTGGGGTTTGATAGGTCGAGTGCTGTTAGGGTTAATGGTATAACTACAGTCTGTTTGCAGAGATGCTACATAACTTTTATTTTGTAATCACTAGGGGGAAAACAAAATGAAACTCCATTTACTAGATTTATACAATAACAGAAACAATAAAGCAGATGAATAAATATTAAAAACAGAATCATTAAGAAGCCATGTAGGAAGGGGGGCCATTTTGCTTTCACAAAACTAATTGGGGAACAAAACATGTTCTGGTATGTCTGAGCAACACTGAAAACAACTAAAGAGAGAAAGAGAGAGATAGAAAACATGAGGGACTGTCATACAGATGTAAACATGGTACTGGTGCATGTACATGGACATGCAAGCCAGTGGCAATACCCACATGCTACTGAACTCCTCAGCTCTGAAGTTGCCTGTGCCACTTTTGCACTGTCCACTGTCATAATCACCGCACGTTTTAAAATTGGTTTGCATGTGTATTCCTATCTTATTTTAGGAACACTCATTTTGGGTAACATAATATTGTAGCAGTTGGTCATGTCTCAAGCTAGAACACTCCAACCTCGTTCCCCATTGGTAACGTCTCTTGCTGCGCCATGTTGGTTCCCATCCTGCCTTGCGCGATCTTAACCCCTGGAATTGTGTGAATTAGGACTGCAGTGGATGTGTTTATCACGCGACGCAGTGCTATAAATTTTGAGGGTTTTTTGGTAGAATCAATCCTTAAAACATGAGATTTTGATTTCATGCGACAGAGAAAGGATATATATTAAATGTACGTACCTCTGTCATCCCTTTCACAATACAAGATACAGGTTTTTTTCGGGGGGGGGGGGGGGGGGGCGCGAGCGCATATAGAGCGTGCAGTCTTCGAAATACGCACCCAGTATGCACTGAATAGTCAATCAGTTTTGTTTACGTATTCCTCGGGGCCAGGGGTTAGTGAAGGAACGTGCACGCGCCCATGGAGTCGAGGCTGAGAACACTCTTTGCTAGACCCAAAGCGGGCAGTCTCTAGTCTGCTTTGTACATGCACCCAACTGACTTTACCTTCTCACTCCATCACTGAATGTCACTAGTTAGTTACACTTGCTTTAGTCTCACCTAAGTCACAATAACACCAGAACTGTATGGCCCGCATGTATGTTAAGTGGAGTACATTTTAATTACATTGAGAGGGCTAAAATATTTTCTGGTGTTTAACGATGTATAATTTTGGATTTACTTTGAAAAAAAACCCAAAAAACAAATCTTGTTGGGAAGAACGAAGGGAAAGAAATCTGACAATTAAATTTGGTAGAGTAGGGTTTAAATAATTAAACAATAATCTACAAACAGAGATCTCAGGTATCGGTTAACTATGATATTCACAAATAAGTTCCAAATACGTAAGTGGTTGATATTCCCCTATTAGCATGTAATCGGAACACAGTTAGGAACTGTGTATTGCTAATAAATAAGTGGTTACTTCATCACCTCCACATAATTACACACGTCCATCAGGTGCCTAAAACTTCTTCTTTTTTCAATTCTCATGTGCGATTTGTTTTTTGATACACTCTTAGTATTTTCTTCAGAAGCTCTGCATTACTCTGGGATAAAAAAAAAAGTGTGCCAGTTTTCTCTAATTCACATTTACTATTTGAGCATTATTGTCTTTATCAAATTTATACGTACATGTACATGTATATCATAATTGTTTTTATTGCAAAGATTCACAATGCAAAAACAAGCATAGCAGCAGTTTACTGAAAAACAAATTGACTCTGCACCCAAGGGCGTTACAAGTCTGGCCCCAAGCATGGGTTTTATAGCGTCTCTGGTTTTAAAGTACTACCTCCCAACATGTAGCTACCAAAAGCTTCGTTTGCATCGTGTCATATCCTCCATGGTGTTGCATATGCAGGGTGACCCCCCCCCCCTAAAAAAACTAAATCCTCAAAGCACCCTCTTTTTCACAGCTTTTAAAAATGTACATCGCAAATTTCGATACCTATTGGGAGGGAATACATGTACATGTATGATGTAGTTCTAGTCCAGAAATTTGGGACTCTCAATACTGTATTATGAGAGTCCCAAAACTTGAGGTATTGAAAACATGCAATAGAAGAAAATAGACTGGCACCTGAAACAACCAGTCCAACAACTCTTCAGTACATGTACTGCATCAATCAACTGTCAGCTGACTGTGCCAAAAGAAATATCTAGGATGTCGGGTACTAGGTCACTATTTGTATTCTACACATTTGTCCTTAGTCAGGCACCAGACTAATGATAATGAATGAAGAAGTCCGTCTTGTCAAACAGTTGGACCATGGATGGACGTGTAGAAGTCTAGTCTTTAGCCTCATTTTAAAATCACTAGAGTTCCCTCTCTTGTGCAAGCCACTGCCAAATATCGAAGAAAAAAAAACCTTTAAAAATTGATTTGAGTATGCAAACTTGGTTGGTGAAATACTGAGAAACTTTTCTTTGCCCAATGACAGTTTTGGAGAAATTTGCTGGCTAAAGAGTGAGTAAAGTTGGCCAGATCTTCTTTTGCATCATTTTGAGCACTTAAGGTCCCAGTCTGCTGTGGTTCATTAGCTTTTCAACAACGAAAACATCTTTCCAATCTGGTATATATTTATTGAGTATTGAGTTATGGCCAATTAAAAAAAAGTGCTGATGTTTCGTTCTGTCCACGGTCTTAATTGTCGTTTACTAGGAATGTAATGGATTTGGGGTTAGGGTAAATTTGCTTTCTTAAATTTTTCAATGTTTCTTTTTTTATGTTGTTTTTTTGTTCCCCCATATTTTGCGACACTGGTCATTTCTCCTTTTGGAAGAAATTTTAGTCCTTGAAAGGATTGTTAGGTTAACTTCTTGGATGTTTACTGTGCTGCTCTGCCCTCTACTTGGTAGCCTCTTTCACGGATGCAAGTTTCGGCCCTTGTTCTTATTGCGCAAGTCAAATATCAGTCGCAGTGGACAAAACAAAAAACGGTACTTGTTTTCAATTAACCATAACTCACTAAATATTTTTCTAATTGGAAATTTTTTCCAAGTTGAAAAGCTAATGAACTATACTTGTTTATAGGTATCGATATCTGTGTAATTTTATTTTTAAAGCTGTGAAAAAAGAAGGTGCTTTGAGGGTTCGTTTTAATTTTATTTATTTGGGGGGGGGGGACACCCTGTACAAGATCAACAAACTGTCCAGTAACTGGCAGCTTTTCAAAAATCTCCCTCCATCCCTCCCCGTCAAGCCCTCCCCACCCCCACCACTGCCATTTGGAGCTGCTGTGTTGCTAATCATAAACTCCCTTCTGTTGGGCAAATTCCGGACTAAAATATCCTTCAATCACAGAAATATTGTCGCATTTTTAACTCCTTGGGGTGCACTAACATACACTGTACATCTACGAAGTCCACCCCACTTCAGGAGAACAAGTCACAAATAAAAGGCTGTAAAGAAGGCTGCGTAATATATTTTACTATATGTATATCCATGTTTGTTTTGCTTGTTTTCGTTTTTTTCTGGCTAATAATGACAGATAAAGTGGTGGGGGTTTCAACAGAATGGTGATTTACTTAATATCGAGCTCCTTCGGGCGGCTGCGATGTTTTCATGTTTGCCTTGGTTGTCATGGTGCGCCGAATATCCGTTAGCACTGCCTTCAAGTTATATGATGTACTCCACTTTGTCAGAGTGGGGAACTGGCTCTTGTCGACCTGAGGGTTGTGGAGAGGGGAAAGAACATACAAATACTCTGCTTAGAGGGGATTTCAATACACAACTGGAGGCAAGTTTGAGCAAGGACCAGTGGTTAACTAGTGGTTGGTTTGTGACGTACCGATGTAGCGCTTGCGCACTGAAGTTGAAGTGCGAACAACTCTAGTTAAACTATTGTCATGTCAACGACCGTCAGAAAATGGCGGTCGCACAATCATTCAACACTTGTTGTTCCTCTGTATTTACACAATAATAGTGATCGTGTATAGTTTGGGACATCTTACATAATCGCCAATATTATTGTACAATATGGTGGGGCCGTGTCATACAATGTAAGTCCGACGCCTCATAGGTCCGACGCCTCATAAGTCCGACGCCTCATAAGTCCGACGCCTCATAAGTCCGACGTCGGAAAAACGAGGCGTTAAATTTGTCAGACCTACGAGGCGTCGGACCTACGAGGCGTTGGACCTATGAGGCGTCGGACTTATGGGCCTTTATTTGGTTAGGGTATGCGATTTTGTCGACTTATGAGGCGTCAAACTTATGAGCGGACCCCAATATGTTGACAATAGTGACATAATCGTAAAATAACATGGAAAAAGTGCGCAATGAAAATGAAATTTAGCGCTCACAGTTTCGCTTTTTGTTGATAGTTGGTCCCCTCTGCACTATGCTATTGAAATTGCTATTAAGGACCAGCTATAAATTGTTGCGCGACCAGCCGCGGTAGGCTGGTTCCAAATAGTTGACTAGCGTAGTCAACCATCGTCAACTAGACAGAGTTCGGGCTAACTTTAGTCGAACTACTGGTATGGTTAACCACTGGTCAACAATAGTTCTTGTGCGAACTTGCCCAAGGCTAGCAAAATTCACAGAAAAATTGTGTGTAACAAATTCAACCTCACAAGTAGTCATGTGATAAGGGATACACTACGTGCACATTGCTAGCTGCTTATTTTTGACTAATCACTTAGTCCAAATAAAAAAAATAGTCAATCTCTGATCAGACCAAAGTTCCGGAATTATATTCAAGCTTGGATTGTACAGACAAGTTGGGTAATATTTGCTGTTTTGTGTCCTCATATATCTTGGTGTTCTCTATCATTTGCCTTGGTGCCCTCCATTTGCCTTTGTGCCCTTCCCCAGGTCGAGCTGCCCACAAAAATTTGAGGCAGTGCAGCAATAGAAGGCGCTGTTGTAGCTACTAAGAAAATTTTTATCACTGATGCGCATTATCAAAATCGACGCACGTGCTGACCAGAGACCGACTACTACAGCTGTTTATGCGCATGCATCCAATTTGCATATTAGATCACACCCCATTGCATTGCAAAATTCATGGTTGTACGGTTCAGTTGTACAGTTCGTTGTGAAGGCTGTGATTTCATGTACACCGAGTGACAAGGTAACACAAGGTAAAAATTACTCGGTTTTATTGACTTTGTGAAAGTCTATGTAGATTGTCGCTAGAAGTAATAGTCATGATTGTTTTTGCATAGTTTCACGACATATTTTTTGGCGTAAAGGGTGCAAATGTGACTCGTCGCTGTGACTCTTCGCCATATACAACGCTATTTTCTATGACTGCATTGATTGGAACGTAAACATTATTTCTGTGTTCATGACAAAGACTTTTCGTTGTGCACGGGTGTGCACGCACGTTTTTCGTTTTCTTTATTTTTGACGTGCCATAACCCGTCTTAACGCGTTACCCACCGTGGGTTGTACCACTTGGCACTTGTTTATTGCTTGAAGGACTACCAAACTTACATAGCCATTCTCGCTTACTCCTTGAAGTTTGATCCTAGTGGTGAAGCGCACGAGGGGCGGCTGCTTTGGGTACTCGGGTCCACACTCCATCTCCAAGTTATAAATCCGGCCCTCATAAGTCGTCTGAAAACCAAACAGAGAAAAACGGAAAATCACCAAGCAGGCATTTGTACGTTTTTCCTCTCTGAGGGCGGTAGAACAATTCTTCAATAGTATAATTGTTTTTAACAGTGCAGATGAATCCTTATTAGAGACAACTTGTTGAGGTTTTGGGGGCACATTTGAAGAAAAACAACCAAGAAACACTTCACAAAGAATACATTAAATTGAGCATGTACATATGGGGGTAACATATTGTTTTAACCCTCCCAGACTGTCAAAATTTCCATCAGTATTAGAAGTGGACAAACAAGTTCCCTCGTCTTTGCCTCCGGAACTAGTTTGTCAACTTCCAATAACTTGGGGAGCTAATATTGACTGTCCATTCTCAAACCGTGTTATATTTGTATACCATGTTTTGCAAGGAGTCGCGACTACTGAGTTTCACTTGTTGCACACACCTACTTTTGGCAAGGGACCTGTTAGTACAGCGTGAATTTAAAAAAGCGGAACCCAACCTCCCAAAATATATTTCATATTTAAAAAAATATGTAGCACCTAACATGATAATGACTGGAAAGCCAATTTCATAAGCTACTTTTAGATGAAAAAAAATTCTGAAATTGCTCAATCCGTTCAAAGAATATCACTATTTAAATGCAATGACCCTAAAACTTATTTCAACCAAAAAAGCAGTTTATTGTGTATTCTGACTGTTTGGAACAACAACAAAAATTACACAGAATACTTGTTTCAACAACTGTAGTACACACTATCTTTATTGTCAACCCTGGTTAGGTAAACAAAATGATTTATACATCTACTTTCTTTACAAGGCAGGCCTATGTTGAATAGGCCTATTTTTTACTTTTAAACTGTGGTTTTATCGCTGGTGATGTGAGAAGACCATGGTTACGACGATACTTGAAATCGCAATTTTGGACGAAATTAGGGTCATTGTGTTTAAATGGTGATATTCTTTGAATGGATTGAGCAATTTCAGTAATTTTTTACATCCAAAACTAACTTATGAAATTTGATTCCTGTAATTATTAACACATACCCACAAAAGAGATTTATTCACATGGTGTCACCGCAAACTTATCTTGTCTTTGTAATTATTATGTTTGATGCTACATATTTGTTTAATATGAAATAGAATTTTGGGGGTTCGGATTCCGCTTTTTATGACTCACTCTGTACTACATGTAGGTAAATGTCTTCCGTGCTGAACTAATTCTGTGTGCCGCAATATCGGCCCCTGTTAGCTCTACTGAGTAGATCGCTGGAACTTCCGTATCTCCGTACTAGCGCTCCACGGAACAGGCATACTTTGACAACACATTTATATCCCTGACACACGGTATGTATTTTTCTGCAAACCCTAGAAGACAAAAGGCCCCCAAAAAACTGGTAAAGCGAATACAAATGAGAAAGCCCATACTGCCATATGGCGCACGGCACATATCAGTACATGAAACAGTCGTTGATTCAGCGCGACTTGTTTTTCTTCGATAGTGACGTCACACAAGCGCTCAACGATCAGCCAAGAAATGGCACAACTCAGCAGACACATTTAATTGCGAGCGGTAAGTTTATCAGAATATTTAGTTCTTTTTTCAAAATTACCGCTTGTTGGGAACAATTGAAGGGGTCTTATGGAATGTCATGAATGTGTGGATCTATCCAGGGTGACTGTCTTTCTCATTTGTATTCTCTTTACCAGTATTTTGGGGGCCTTTTGTCCTCGAGGGTATGCAGAAAAATGCACACCGTGAATCAGGGATATAAATGTGTAGTCAAAATATGCCTATTCGGTGGAGCGCTTGTACGGAGGGTACCGAAGTTCCAGCGCTCCACTCAGTAGAGCTAGGCCCCAGTAGTACATGCTGTACAGACACCCTACCTACCCGAGGGGGCCCTATAATCATGCCGTTCCATTTAATCATCTTCATGTCATCGGCGGTGACCAGTCCCCAGCTTATTGTGCCATCACCGCCTTTTTGGCCCTCTTCCAGCTCTTCCAGAAGGCGAAAGTTGCGGGGCACCTCAACAGCTGTGTGACAGACAAAGCCACGAGAGGGAAAGTGAAGGAAAATTCAAGTCATGAGAATGCTCAGTCACTTCACAAAAAAGACCAATGGAAGAGGCCCATATACGGAACCCTTTCATATGCCGCCAAATACCCCCAGAACTATGGGTCTTGTTACACAATACCCGCAGGTAGGCATAGATTTGAATTTTGGAGCAGCCGCTGTATAATATACCTCAAGACTATGCCCAGTACGAGGCCTCGTGATTGGCCCGTCTGACGCCGCCCGCGACATGCACTATATACATGTAGGCCTACATGTACATGTAGACGGTGTCTGTGGTCAGTTCACAGACCAAAAGACTCTGAGTGACGTCCTGCCAACAACGCTTCGTGTGCACGTAAACGTTAAAACTCAAACTGTAGCTTCGGTACGAAAATGGTACTGTTTTCATCATTTTTTTTTGCACCATCGGGATCGATTCAACTCATAAGCAAACAGAACGGGAGTATGTCAAGAAGTTCTGGGCATAGTCTTGAGGTAAATATACAGCGGCTGCTCCAAAACTCAAATCTATGATATGCCTACATGTACCCATGGGTATTGTGTAACAAGACCCATAGTTCTAGGGGTAGCCGCAAAACACATCAATTTTCACCTCACCTTGTGATTTCAAGACAAATCTATTAGGCTTGTTTGCTTTTTTTACTTGGATTAAGTAACTGATTATTAAGAGGAAAGGAGAGGGCGACAGTCAAGGAGGTAAAATATAGGAAATAATGAATTATTTTAAGTTGTAACTTTTTGGAGTGTACAAATTTATTGAAAAAAGTGGTGTCCGTATACCGGAATTCTTTCCCACACCAGCAACAGCCTTTCTGAAAACCAAGGTGTACTATCGATAGAAATACAACTTACAAGTGTTTTACTTACATGTTACTTTTTTATAGGCCTAACCCAGTGTTGTAGTACTTGTACACATACATGTAACAATTGATAACATTAATAATTGATGGGCGCATATTACGGCGATCGTGTAGTGAAGGGCCCGGTTCCTATAAAGGGAACAAAAGCCACTTTAAAATTATTAGACCTACCAAACTAGTTGGCGACATTCTCAATAAACAGGTATGTCATAGAAAGAGGGCAGGGTTTTGATTTTTCGAGGGAAATTTGGGGGTAAAATGATGTACGATACAGTGCGGCGACAACACGCAACCCAAAAAATAAAGATGATGATCACCGCACAATGTACCATGAGCACGCAAGGCGCGCTGAATCGTAAGGCACAAACCGTGCAGGATAATTGTAATTTCTACCCCAAGAAACTGTTCAAAATTGCAAAACGGGTGTCATCCGGATTGAGAAAAGTCTGCTTTCGATTGTAAAGGCGATTTTTGAGCAACAAAAACATTTTTGACTCTAATTTGATCAAAACAAAACAGGGGCCCTACACTACACTATCGCCATATTACTAAATTTGACAAATACCAGATCTGCCCAAGATTTGCCAAGTCAACCATGTCAACACAACGGCGATCGTGAAGTGTAGGGCCCCTGTTTTGTTTTGATCAAATAAGAGTCAAAAAAAAAAAATTTATTGCTCAAAAAAGCAGACTTTTCTCAATTCTAATGACACCCGTTTTGCAATTTTGAACAGATTCTTGGGATAGAAATCACGATTTTCCTGCGCGGTTTGTGCCTTGCGATTCAGCGCGCCGTGCGGGCTCACGGTACATCGCGCAGTGATCGCCATCTTTATTTTCAGGTCGAGTGTTGTCGCCGCGCTGTCATCGTCATTTTACCCCCAAATTTCCCTCAAAAAATCAAAACGCTGCCCTCTATCTACGACATACCTGTTTATTTAGAATGTCGCCAACAAGTTTGGTAGGTCCAATAATTTTAAAGTGGATTTTGTTCCCTTATAGTTATAAGAACCAGGCCCTACACTTCACGATCGCTAACACAACAGTGTACAACAAGTTAAGAGATTTTTCCCCAAAACCACACGCGTGTGCCACCCCGTATCCCCATATCCACTTCCCGGCACCTACTTTGGACTTAGACGTTTTTCCCCTGCTCCCCATTCAACTCACGTTGTCTCTGCCTTTTGTATTTTCCAACATGGATATGGATGCTTCGTTCTCAAAAATATTTTCCTCCGCTAAAAATAAAGTCCACCCCGTATCCCCGTATCCACTCCCTGGCACCTACTTTGGACTTAAATTTATTTAACCCCTGCTCCCCATTCAATTCACGTTGTCCCTGCTGGCCGCATTTCTTAATACAGGGAAATAGCGCCCTCTTTAGACCCTCCAGTGCTCAAATCCACCCCGTATATTGTATCCGCGTATCCACTTCCTGACATCTGAATGTACTTTGGACATTTCTGCAACATTTTCCGACTGCGTAGCCATTTATATTTAGGGGGTAATTTTCGCGTGGCGGGGTATTCTGCAATTACATGTATACTCTAGTCCGAGTAACCGAAACAGGACAACTCGTACGCGAACCAATTCGTAGCGAGACAACTTGTACGCGGATTGGTCAACTTGTACGCGAGACAACTCGTACGCCAGCCAACTCGTACGCCAGCCAACTCGTACGCCAGCCAACTCGTACGCAAGACAACTCGTACGCAGGCCAACTCGTACGCGAACCAACTCGTACGCCAGCCTACTCGTACGCGGACCGAATGTTTACGATCGCCAACTTGAAGTTTACCCCAAAACACACGCCAAAGTTAACGATTTATCACAGTCCGATTGTATGACTGAATGACTGTGATTGTAGCCATATGTCTTTTCAACAATTTTAAATTCCATAAATGCAACGATGTTCAAGTTCAAAAGTTTCAATGATAAATAAATTTTAAAAAAGATCCATTTTGCGACCGATGTGTAGTGCAATGCCACGGTATGCACTTCCAACCACGCAGCTAGTGTGGAGAATTTGTCAAGACATACAACGATTTGATTGACACATAGCGCGGGGCCACTATAGCAATGTTTCGTTGGAAGTCTACAGATTTAAATTCTCACTATGTGGCATTATCTTGTCGTATGGCGTACGATGTGAGCAAGGATCGGACAGTGTGCGAGTGGTCTGGGAAAACAAATCATAACTTTTTTGTTATGAGCAAGACAAGCTGATTTAAAAATGAACTAATTTGGACCACACAGTAACACCCTTAACTTAACAAAAAAAGAATGTGCCGGACAACTGACCGACCCTAATTTCCTACACGCCCGAACCTACGGTTTCAGTAAAATCCCTTGTCATGCTTGTGCTACGGCTGCTAGTCTATACTCACGCGTACAAGTTTGTCCGCGTACAAGTTTGTCCGCGTACGAGTTATCCCGCGTACGAGTTGACTCGCGTACGAGTTGACTCGCGTACGCGTTGGTCCGCGTACGAGTTGTCCTGCGTACGAGTTGGTCGCGTACGAGTTGGCTCGCGTACGAGATGACCTGAATTCCGAGTAACTAGGACTCTACGGATCGCTTTTTTAACATTTGGACATGTCATGGTCGGGTGTAGCCCCATAAATGTGGCCAATTTACTGGACTACCTCCGTAAACATAGGCCACACATCCACATGTACAAAAACGTGTCGCACTTTGCCAAATTTTGATTTTCACATTTAGGCTTACTTTGTAGGTTTTTTTTTGCTTTAGAAGCTAGCCCGACTGCGTCTGGCCGTACAGTACTATCGCAAGCTCTGTAGTACGGCCAGACGCCCGATGCTTCCACAAAGACTGAATTTTGTTGGCCGCCGATGTAGCGATTTTGCTACATCTTTCGATCGCGATTATCTTTTCATCCAGGACACAAATTTCCAAAGTTAAGGTTTGTAGTCGTAGAGCAACTCATACCTTTTCGAAAAAACGTTCTTTGGTCTCAATATTTTCATCCATCTGGCCACAAGACGAATTTCAGTCATCAGATTCCACAAATATCGTCCCCCATGCGATCCCCCATGCGATTTCAAAATGGCGGCCGCGCTGTAATGTATGCAATATGCGAGCGCGCCCGCGCAAACTCATGAATATGCATAAACAGTCTGTGACGTATGACCTCGTGTTTTAAGACGTGCGTGCAGCGGGGCCGTACGGTCATACGTCACAGACTGTTTATGCATATTCATGAGTTTGCGCGGGCGCGCTCGCATATTGCATACATTACAGCGCGGCCGCCATTTTGAAATCGCATGGGGGATCGCATGGGGGACGATATTTGTGGAATCTGATGACTGAAATTCGTCTTGTGGCCAGATGGATGAAAATATTGAGACCAAAGAACGTTTTTTCGAAAAGGTATGAGTTGCTCTACGACTACAAACCTTAACTTTGGAAATTTGTGTCCTGGATGAAAAGATAATCGCGATCGAAAGATGTAGCAAAATCGCTACATCGGCGGCCAACAAAATTCAGTCTTTGTGGAAGCATCGGGCGTCTGGCCGTACTACAGAGCTTGCGATAGTACTGTACGGCCAGACGCAGTCGGGCTATTTAGAAGCATACTCACCCTCTTTATAGGCTAATCAGAAAGTGCTGCCTTTTTCAGATGTCTAATTTTCGTGAAATTTCCAGATTCATTTGCACACGTTTGGTATCAAAATTTCAACATGAATTTTCACAAAAATTAGACATCTGAAAAAGACAGCACTTTCTGATTAGCCTATAACCTGTATAAAGAGGGCGAGTATGCTTCTAAAGCAAAAAAACCCTACAAACTACGCCTAAATGTGAAAATCAAAATTAGGCAAAGTGCGACACGATTTTGTACATGTGGATGTGTGGCCTATGTTTACGGAGGTAGTCCAGTAAATAGGCCACATTTATGGGGCTAGGTCGGGTGATACTATCACCCGACCATCATCAGGTCCAAATGTTAAAAAAGCGATCCGTAGAGTCCTAGTTACTCGGATTATATACTCACACATTTTGATGTAGAAGTTCCTGAAAAACACAGATCATATCACCAGCAACACACTTAGTTTGGCGAAAACTAGCTTGAGTACTATAGCGTGCTACGAATACGATGACGAGTAAATTCACTCTTCAGACTTCACATTTGTATTCTATAATCGCATCGGGAAGAAAATCATGAAAATGGCAAACAAAATACATGTAACTATGTGTACCCAACAGAGGGCGCCCCGCATCTCGGCCGCTCGCTGGCCGCCCGCGTATATATTCCAGGAATAGGAAAAGTGTTTAAGACCGTACCAGCCGCGCAGGCCAGCCGGTCTTTATCAACCGTTTAAAACCAGCCACGTGACGGGCTCTTGACAAATAGCAGTGGGTAAACTGTTTCAGGTATTTGATGCCCCTATCTGAAGATGGTAACTTCCCCCTCCCCCACCCATCCACTGTTGGATTTTACGGAGGCCAAGTCTCCGGAGAAAAAAACGTGTCAACATTTCAGTACGGATGTGCGAGTGCCTTTTTCAAAAAAATTTACCCCCTCCCCCAATATGAATTACCTTGCTACGCCACTGTAACATATTGAATTGTACTTAGGAATTGAAGATAAGAGCATCGACGGACGCGTACGCCCGCCAGTAAATTCTACACCGTTGTTTTTCATTGTTTACACTTGAAACATAACTTTTACATTCTGCATTCTGTCTACTGAGTAATCTGGTAGCAGAAAAAGAGTGATGGGGGGGGGAGGGGACAGTGCATAAACGTCCAATCTATAAATAGTCTGTTCCCTTGTGCGGTTCGTATTTTTTTTTTACATCAGCAATTTTGACGTGACCACGTTGGTTCATCTTTTTCTTGCGATGTTGCGTGCGGCCATGGCCATTTTTAAGTTGATCGTCAATAACAACCGTGACACGGCTCAAAACAACGAAATGTGCAATTTGAACAGCCACTGATTGCAAGCGCGGGTTGTTTGCCAACGGTGCGCCTTGCTTCTTATGACTAACGTGGGTTGCTTCCTCACGGATGGACGAGTTTGCAATTACACCTGTTTTATAAGGAGGCCTTGAAGTAGGTTATTGGAAGGATTTCCATTGGAAGTATGATCGCGAGAAGTTGTATAGAACCACGCATTAACTGTGGCAGTCATTGAACACTATACCAGAGTCGGTCCTCTCTCCCGGAATAGGAGGAAGAATTTATCTCCGATATGGAGCGGGAAATACACACTTTTCTTATCCTTTTGGTCGTTCAAGCTTTGTGTTTGCAACGTTCCTTGTGTGGGCTTGTAGGTAAGTTATACATAGTGGTCCGGCTCTCATTATTGCATCTGTACATTTTCGCTGAATCTTATGCTTGAGAACATAATTTGAGCAAGTTTCTACTTCTCTTAAAATGTATGAAAACTATCTGACATCCCTTTTGGTTAATTGTATTGAAAAATGCACTTTTTTTACATTTCAAAATTGTTCATGCTTTTTTCTGACAAATGGGGGCGCTGCTGTTATGATGTCATTTCAGAAAGGCACTGTTCACTTTAGGGCTTTTCTGTTCAAATTGTGAACCCAAAATGTGCTCACTGCAAACGTTTGTGGGAACATGTTCTCGTTGGCTTACCATCATATACTGAAACAACAACAATCACCAAAGAAACGGAAATGTACGATACTAAAATATTGGACATTCTGGCAAATTGTGGTGTTGAAATAGCTGTAACATTGAGGTTTCTGCCTGAAATGACAGCACACTTTTGTTCACAAATATGGAAATTCGCACCAGCATAAAAACCAAAAGGGCACCAAAATGCCCTTTCAAGTAGCAAAATGAATATTTAAAACAAGTTAAAAGGGAAACAAAGGTGCAGTTTCAAGGATTGCATTAAAACAATTCAATTGCCCTTTCAATAAAATGCGTCAAATCTAAGTTTGCCGTCAAACTGATGGGAATAACAACGGGTTTCCCGCGCTATTGTTGACTTTCACCTCGAAAAAATAGTTTTATTTTTTAATTGCTATTTCCTAGGAATATAAAAGTTATTAACTTTTGCATGAGATATCGAACGAAAAATAATCTATCGACGTTTAGTTATTGAATTATTTCCTCACACAATTTGATTTATTGGCTGCCAGACAATAATTGGCTCTTGCAGACCGGTTCCTTTTATGCGCAAAATACTCCTTTTTGGAGGTTTGCAGACTCCTAAAATCGGAACAAAGAAGATTTTTCGTTAGAGCAAAATATACAATTTGAAAGATCGTTAGGAGAAAAGAAATCCATTTTTTGAGGAGCACGCGCGGTATACAATCTTTAATCACGCGTGCACATCTTCTGTCCGAGAAATAGGTGCTAATTTTTGTTGTTGCCTTGATATATATTATGATTTTAATTCAGTTACTCATAGTACTGCAGAAAATGTAACAACAAATTGCGGAATTGTGCCACTAATGATAGAATTAGAAGGTTTTAATGTTTTGAAGAATATATTTGCGGGATCACCATTATGTATTTTACGTTGCTTTTAATATGAGACCTTTCCTTTATGGATTGATAGTCAGACCTAGAGTGAGCCTGTTTCATCTTGTACATTTTATGGGTTTTTTTTAAATTCAATGTTTTGCTGTCTTGGTTCCTTTGCAAGTTTGCTCATTTTAATTTTGTTATTGTAAATTCATCAATTTATCCACCTGCCTCTGGCGATTGCGCTATCGGATGTTGCATGAAATAAATAACTAAAAGCATTGGAAAATACACTTTTTCTTGAAAATGTCAGCACACCAGGAACCAAGATTTTACAGGATGCTTTAGACTGTCATTCCCTATAATTTACAATCCAGTAAGGTATTTCGTGATACATGTAGTTTGATCATTTCGTTTTTTGATGTTTGCAAATGTTGTATCTTTCCAGATGCACCCGTGCTCTTGCTCCTAACGTATTTTCAATGTGTATGGTTTGTATTGACGAAAAAATACTTCATTCCAATTTAGGCGTCTGCAGCCCTCTGAAAAAGGGGCTTTCACTTTGCGCACATAGTGAGCCCTCTATGCGAGAGCCAAATTATTGTCTGGAAGCCAATATTTCGAATTTTGTGAAGAAATAATTCTATAACTAAACGTCGGACCTCGGTGGATGTTTTAGTTCGATGTCTCATTTAAAAGGAAATAGCAATATTGATAAACAAATCTAGTTTCTAGGTGAAACGTGAAACTAGCACGGAGAAGACTTCTTTAATGTGGTAAAGATACCTACATTGGTAGATAATGCCAAATATCAGTTGCCCTGGTTACTAGGGAAACCGATTTTTAAATACTGTCAAACATAACATTCTGTCATTTTGTAGTAATCATAAAATTCGGTCATTTTGCTTTAAAAAAAACATTGGAAATATGCATTTTAGGCGTCAAAGCCATGTTTTCCTGTGCAACTGTCAAGTATCCACTGAATACTATAAATTACATGGCCACGTGATCACAAATACTACAATACATGCTGGAAATCCATATGGCCGCCGCTTGCGCGAGTGATTTTTAACCTTTTTTTAGGGGGGGGGGAGATTTCCTATGGTTTGGGGGTTCTTTTTGACATCTCTTGGGGTTCTTTTTGACATCTCTTGGTTTTAAATTGGATGTGTTTTATATTGGTCATTTTATTTATTTGGTTTTAAAGTGGATGTGTTTTATATTGGTCATATTATGGTCTACTTTACACTGTTATGTGATTGCATCTCTCTTACTAATGTTATGTTGTTTCATTTATTTGCTGCTCTACTATTTTGATATAATTGTACATGTAAATTATGTTCATGATTGTCGTAATATTTTGTGTGTTTTTTTTACTGCATATACATGCTGTTATCTTTTATTGCTTTATCTATTTGCTTAATCAGTTAACATTAATTTATGTTTATATTTTAATAATTGTATTTGTTTTAAATATTACTTTAATTAATTGTTTTAAAGTATTTTTTAAAATTCAGGGCCCACAAGGAAAGCAGTTTTTAACTAAGGAGGCCACCCTGTTTAAATAAGACTGCAAATAAATAAATAAATAACAAATGTAACGTATCTACAATCTATAAAATTGTACTCCATTAGTGCCGATTTTTGTTGTTGTTAAAAAACCCTCAAATTTGATGGATTATCTAAATAATATCTTGCACAATATTTTTGCCATTGAAGGAGCCCCAGTGAGTGTGGGCCTTATGCATGACAATGACCTTTTTTTTGTCGAGTTCCCTGAATGTATTTCACAAATTGTGAACTGTTTAATGTGATGGCGCTAGACTATTTATGCAGCCTTACTTTACTGTCTTTTTTTTTAAATCTGGCTTAAGACATTAGGGAATGTTTATTTACAAATTTTTAATTATTCATTGAAGCAGACTTAAATTAATTAGTAATTTACTTGCTTTCATTCCTCTTTGCAAGTTAAAAAATTAATATTTTACCTCACTTTCAATTCAATGTGGCCGACTCGTGCATAAGGCCCATAGGGATTTTGACATGCAGCACATTGCCTCAATGAATATCTATAAAGCCCCTGTCACACTTGTCCGAATCTATAATTCCGTTCATAAACCGATCTGAAATATTATTAATTCGGACACGTTCGGAGAGAAATGTCAAAAAACCAGCCAGAAATGAAAATACACCGATCATAATCCGGTCTTATTCCGGATCTAATAAGTTACTATTCCGATTGCAATCCGTCTATATTCAGAACCTCTCCGATCATCACCGGACATGCCAAACTCATTGATCTCAAGACCGACCGCTTTCCGAACATTCCGTTTATATTCGGTGCGTCCGTTTTTTGATCGGCATTACAATGGTGTGGGTTCGGAATGAACTCTGAATACATACGGTATCGATCGGAATCGGAGGCCTGTTCCGTACTCTTCCGTACCTATTCCGCATTGCAACGAATGGCAACGAATGAGTACAGTGTGTATTCCGTGCATTCCGTGCATATTCCGTGTGTATACCGGATACCGTCCGTATTGAGGTTGCCGCGACAATTCGGAGAAATTATTAAACAGGTTCAATAATTTCTCCGAGTTCCTCAGTGCATCACCGAAAGTACACGAGTATATAGCGTTGGAAAACCGAGGAAAACCGAGGGAAATCCGTTTGAGTTCAGTTCAAACCGATTAAACACCGAATCCACAATGTTTTACTCGGAACATGAACGGAGTGACGATTCGGACAAGTGTGACAGGGGCTTTAAAGGACCAACATTAGCACCAAAGTGCTTTACGTCAAAACGGCGAGGTTCAAAACAATTATTAAAGGGACCATGGGATGAATTTTACTTGGGAACATAATCCTTTTGTGCAACTTTCTGCTCTTACTGTTTGACATCCCTTTTTGGTTAATTTTATTGAAAATTGTCCATGTTTTTCTTGAGGGCACTGTTGATATGATGTCATTTCAGGAAGACACTGTTCAGTTAAGGGGTTAAAATTGTGACCCAACAATTTGCCCATTGAAAACATTTGTGAGAAAGGTTTGCTCATTCGCTTTTATTGTCCTGTACTGACACAACAATGAATCCCCGAAGCACTTACGACCGCAAATATAGTTCGGCAACTTTTGGTGTTAAAATAGCTAGGCTATAACATCGAGGTTTGTGCCTGAAATTAATGACATCACACTGTTGCACATGAATATGTAAATTCGCATTCGCATAAAAACCAAAAAGGCACCTAAACACCTTTGAAAATGGCAACAAAAACATTTTAAAATAAAGTTAAATTCAATGGGACACAAACTAAGGTGCATTTTCAAAGATTGCATGCATTAAAAGAAATAACATTGCATAAAGTCCTTTCAGACGTAAGATCATTAAAACTTCACCACATTCCCGTGTACACGTGGCTTGCAAGTTAAATAGCTGTATACCAATAAGGCCAACAAAAAATAGTTCTGCTTCCGGTTTCCCTACCTACCCTAGTATTCTGACTGTCTGACAGCCCCTACCCTATTTTTTTTTGGGGGGGGGGGCGGGTATGAGGGGGAAAAACACCACAAACCATCAATTACTACCGTATACCCTTGACTACACGCAGACGCCTCCATAATGATCGTAAAATTCCCTACCAACCTACCTTTTCTTTGAATGCCATGTAATCGGAAGCAGATTTTGTTTTTGGCCTAAGGTATTATATATTATATTTTATCCCGTAACTTTAGATTTGACTGGAAAATCTACCCGACAGAGCACTACTCTAGTAGGCATGGGGATAGGTGCTGGCAAAGCTATTGATGGTGACGTCAGCTCATACTCACACAGTAAGCCAACAATATACCATTCATTTTTACAAGCCATCGTAACTTTGTGCTGAGGATGAACTGTGCGAGAGCTATATATATATAGCTCATTGTTCTGAAAGCACTGCCATACTCTAACGTAAACAAGAGATGCAAGGTGTGTATAGCAGAGAAGTACATAATCATATGTAGGCCAGATCTAGGTACACTGAATAAGAGAAGCGAAATCGTCTCCAAGTGCAGGCATCGAGACAGATGTGTTCTTACTTCAGTGACGTAAACGCGTACCAACTTCAATGACGTAACGCGCGTAAACGCGTGCGCGCGCTTGATTGTTTAACTCATATTCTGAATTTATTGGATATATATATTTCCAGGCTACTTTAAAACGTTTTTCATTAGAATGCACCAATGACCGATTTTATATATTAAAATTCGTCCAGAAACATAGATTTAGTGCACTTCCAATGTTTAGGCCCTAAAAATAGGGTAGGTCGGTCGGATTTTTGAAAAGAAACAAGCAATACACCTATATATTTATTAATAACAGGGAAATAACAGGGAAAAACAGAGGGGAAAATATCCTCATCTGCGACCTTTATGTCTTCTACAGATGATGTCGCAATGAACTGTTACGAATTGAACAAACTTATCATTAAATTGTGTGGCAAAAGGCGAATTTGATTTCTGAATAAAGTTGTTCAACGTAGACGAGTCGAAATCGAATACCAAAAATGGGTGTTCATGGATTGAATTCGATTGAACAACAAGCGAAATTGTATGACAAAAGACGAAATTAAACATCGGAAGTGCACTAAATCGATGTTGATGGACGAATTTGGATATTAAAAACGGTGAATTCGAATGCTAAATGTTTTAAAATACTGGAAAACCTATATCTTCGGACCACGTCAACCGTTTGGAAGAAATGTTGGTTTGTTTTGACCAGAGGCTCATTTTTATATTTTGAATGACATTTTGAAGTTTACGTACACATTCTATGGGATTTGATTTAGAAGAACAAGGAAGATGATGAAGAAGAAGAAAAAAAATCGGAAGAAAAACAATGGCTTTTCCTCTGAAGGCGGAAAAGCCAATGAGAACAAAAACAAAGGCTTTTGAGCAAATTTGCGGAAAAGCCAGTAAAGAAGATTAATTCTTGCATTTCAAAAGAGTGATCGGGCCGTATACTTATATTTTGTAAGACGGCTTCAAAACGATTCAGACGTCGTTTACCCCTGACACGGAAAGCTGGATACGCTGATGTTCAGTACTCTACTTGGTCCGATAAAATGCTCAAGCGAATGTGCAAATAGTGATAGGGGACACAAGTAAAATGCTCAAGCGCACACCACACTAATTTTCTTAAAACAATAAATTGATTGAATTAAGACGAATTTCATCTCGGAATGCTGCCATTCGGCAACAGCTTAGACGAATTTGATCTGTAATGACGAATATTCTCGACTCGGTGACTAATGAGGATGACCAAACTTTGAAATTGAATGGTAAATGACTAATTTGGTTTATTTAAAAGCGTTTGAATTTGTTTTCTCGGACGAGATTGAATGTTAGAGTCGGTGAATTTGGATGAAAATGTGTTAACATAGCCGAGAAAATCTATATTAAATGAATGAAATGTTATTCATTATTGTCTTTCAGCGGTACTTAATGATCCGCATCCGTGGTGGATTTTGGACTTGGGTAGCGACCACTGCATTGGAAATATCACCGTCGCTCTTCGGGACGATTGCTGCCGTAATTATTCAAAAAATTATTAGTTCCAACCATATTGAAACTGCTCGAATTCCAATGTAACCTTGGCGACTACCGTTTCAATCCCAGAAGATTATTTTAAGTGCATGGCCCGGAAAATTCTGCTAAAATCGAGACATCAGCCCTTATTTTATTTTGTTAAATTCATTTGGAATGAAAGTTTTAAAAAAATGTCTTTTACAAAAAAATCGCCATTTTTTCTTCCAGTTTACATGTGAGGTTTTAAGTTGTTTGCTTGGCAAATTTCCCATGGAAGTAGCAATGGTATGTGGGCTAGGGGTTATTATAATAATTACCCTCGATGTTTTGCTTTGGGGATTGCAAAACATTTTTTTCCCGTATTACTGAGACCTGTTAAACTGTTTTGTGTTATTTTCAAATAGGCGGTAGGTACCCGTTTTATGCCGCAGTAGCTCGAGCAGGCATGAACGCCAACTATTCCGAAAATCCACCATGTGGGGTACCAGCTACACGTGACCAGGCCGGTCAGGCAGCAGTGAGCACGTTTGTTTGTGACGCACCACGCGTGGCCAGTCACGTCAGCTTCGATATCGATCCCTCCACTCCTGGTGTCACTGAAGTTGCTCTCATGCTGGCGGAGGTCACCGTGGAGGAATATACAAACGGCGAATGTGACACTCCTAAAGGTAAAACAATATATTAATATTAGGTTTTTGCCCATCAACGACTTATGAGCACTGTATACTAGTCTCAGAGTGTTACCTCCTGAGTGAAAGTTGGAAAAAATCACTCGGGTGGGTCTCGAACCCACGTCCTCCTGCTTTTAGGGTAATTTTATAACTAATATTGATTTACATCACCCCAACGCAAATTCCATCTTGTGAATAGTTTAATTGCGGTACCCGCTATACATCAGATTCGACCCAATCCCCCAAGCTCGGTGGTCGAGTGGTAAGACGTCTGCACAAAAGCAGGGGGTCATGGGTTCGAGTCCCAGTACCCATTGATTTTTTCCAACTTTCACTCGGGAGGTAACACACTGAGTATATGTTTATACGTCGGTGAAGGGCAAAACTAATATTGATTTACATCACCCCGACGCAAATTCCATCTTGTGAATATAGACAGCTTGCACAGAGCGCCATCACCGTGGACAAGGATCCCGCTGTGATAGGTACGAGTATTTTCATTGTCACTGAATTTAACTTTAAAAAACCCACTGTCATCAGTGAGGGCGCTCTGTGCAAGCCCTCTGTTTTAGCGACAGTGTTGGTGGCTTATTTATGTAACCAGGCTAAGCAGGCCCTTGACTGCCATTTTCGCTTGCCGGCGCGGTTGGTTCTTTTTTGTCTTCTTCGTTAGCTTGTTGGTCAACGATTGGTCAGGTTGGCTGCAGGGGCGGAACCAGGAATTTTCGCAGGGGGGGGGGGGGGGGTTCATCAGCACAACAATCTGAAAATGACAAATGTACACAGATTTTTTTCTCCGGACACTTGGCCTCCGTAAAATCAAAAACTGGGGATTACCATATTTCAATATGGGGCGCTGTTCAAATATTTCAAATAGGGGCTCGTGCCATTATTTTCAATGGGGAGCGCTGATAAAATCCTACAATCCGGCACACTATATTAACTAAAAGTGTACAAATGCACTCTTCTCATTTAGGGGGAGACCATTCCCATGTACGTCAAATTGTTACATTTTGCAAGTGCATATTTTTGGGGGGGGGGGCCTAGACAAAAAGCCCCCCCCCCATCCCATCCCCCCATCCCACCCCCCCCCCCCCCCCGTAGAACCGCCACTGGTTGATCGGTCAGTTATTGGCCGGTCTGGCGGTTGGACAGGCGGTAGGTTGGTCTGGCTAGTCTGTCCATCAGATGGTCTGTTGATCAGTTTGCCGATTGATTGTGTGGTTGGTCGGCCGATCGGTACCGGTAGGTCGGTCGGTCATTCGGCAAGCCAGTGATTTTCTGGCAGCTTATAGTTTGCTGGTAGTTGGCTGGTTAGTGCTCGGTTGATCGGTTAGTTGGCTGATGATTCAGTTGGTGTTGGTGGTATTTTGGGGGCGGGTTTACCGGCGATTAGCTGACAGGTATGCGTATGGGCTATAATAAACATGTAAAACTTGCTGGACGTATCATTTTTAAGACGGCCATTCTCTTATTCTCCTTCTTTCAATCTCAGCTCCTCCGACAATCTCAGCCTCATCTCCCGAGCAGGTGGACAAGATCAAGTCGGCAGGCTTTGTCCTGATGTACAAGGGAGCCAGGCTGATCGGGAAAACCGACCCACTATCGACCCTCGTGGCGAAATATCTGGAGCAATGCGCCGCTAGCTGCTTCAAGCATACCGAGTGCGTGTCCTTCGACTATGCGCCTGCAACCGGACAGTGTGATCTGTACAACGTGGACGCGCGAGACATGGACAAGATTCTTAACGACCAATTCATGATATACGCACACATGAAATAAATTTTATTCGGCCTAATAATGGTTAATTATTTTCTAAAGTTTAAAACAAAAGGGCACTTGAGAAAAAAAGGCACTCGTGAAAAAGGGGGCTCGTGAAAAAGAGGGCATTCGTGAAAATAAGGAATTCGTGAAAATGATCACTCGAGAAAAAAGGGCACTAGTGAAAAAGGGCACACGTGAAAAACGGAATTCGTTACAAAATATTGGGGCTGGGGCGGGGAGGGGGTTAAATACGCCAATGGGAAATTTAAATTGCTGTTCTTGTATATAAATGTTAAAATCGAAAATTAGCTGCTGGGATGGGGTGGTTTGTGCGAATGTATATTTAAATGACTTCGTTTAAGGGAGAAGCTTTTCAATTTGTCTAAAAAATTAGTGTACAACTCAGGCGCGGTTTCACGGGGGGGGGGCATAGGGGGGCTGTTTGTTTAGCCCCCCCCCCCAAAAAAAAAATTCCGTAAAAAAAAAAGATTGCATTAGCAAAAAGAAGGATTGTGATGTACATGCGAACGGTCTCCCCCTAAAGAAGAAATAGCCGTGACAAGGGTGCATTAGTTAATATAGTGTGAATGATTTTAGGATTTTATTGGCGCTCCCCATTGAAAATATGGCATGAGCCCCAACCCCCACCTATTGATTTTCGGAGGCCTAAGTGTCTGGAAAAAAATAACCGGTAAACATTTCAGCACGCCTCCCTGAAAAAATTCTGGATCCACCGTGCCAGCCCCCCCCCCCCCCCAAAAAAAAATATTGGTTCTAGAACCGCGCCTGGTACAACTTCAATGTTAGGGCCTATATCTTACTCATTTAAATTCAGTTAAATAGTATAAGCCTATACGGATATAACGGTTATAGATCCATCGATGCACGTGCAAACAACGTAGTGTTACCAATTAACATTTTTAGTCGCAGTGCCGGCTTTTAGACAAATCGATTTAAACCAACTATCCGAAAAGTCCCCAGAAAAATGTTCGGCACCACTAGTTGTAGCACGATTGGCTCATTTTAAGATGAAGAGCTTTAAAAAAAAATTTTTTTTGCACATTATCATTTAATGATGTAGTCACGTTCACAATGTGCACAGAAGGAAACGATTGAAAAAGTTACAAAAATTGATTTTACTTTCAAGTATATAGTATCAATTTTAAAAGTTAAAGCTTTTCATTTCATATAAAATCCTGTTATCTTATCTTTAAAAAAATTGCAACTTTAAAAAAACTTCTATACTTATTTGAAACAGGGTATTTATCTGTACATCAATCAATCAATCTAGTTTATTTCATAACTTCATAATGAAAACATATAAAGTACGTAACTTAATAGATAAACAAAACATAAAAGTAAATGACAAAGATAAGTAACATTCCCGGCCAAAATGGTTGGGACACTTGGAAATAACCTTAGCCTTTCACGGTCACCCATTCCCCCGCTCCCCCGGTCAATGTTGTTCTCTCCAGCTGATGGAGCACACACCGCGCAATGAGAGACAACATTGACAGGGGGCCGGGGGCCCAGCGAGATTTGGCCAGGATTGTAGAGGGCCATGTAATGGTTTTGTATTGCTTGCGCTCAGTTTTACCTATAATTAAAATAACAGAGAGCAGTATAAGAACAGTATCCAGAACAGCTTTTTTTTGGGAGGGGGCGCCAAAAAATTGTTTGGTTTCCCAAAAAGTGGGTCCAAAAGGTGGGCCCGGAAAATGTTTTGTATTCTAGATGCACATGTGGGGTATTTCTGACCACTTTGTTGACCAATTTTCTTTCAGGAAAATATGGTGGTGTACCATAGAGCTGTATACAGCTATATTATGTGGTGTACGCAGTGCCTGCCTTTATTGCGACGTCACTTTAAGAAAACAAAATTGGGTTGGTTTTTTTTTGGGGGGGGGGGCATGGCCAGCCGTTGCCCCCCCCCCCCCCCCCCCGCCCTCCCCCTATCCGCCCTTAAGGTTCCCTACTAAATTCCGCTTTGGAACATTCCAGGTACCTGACTTAGTAGTAGTGTTCCGTTATTTTCCTTGGAAAGATAATTAAGAAATCAGGAACCCTGTGGGTATATCGCGCCCTTAAATTTGGTGTGGATTTGTGGCTTCTTCTGGCTAGCCCCATCTGGGTGCACACCGGTAAATAGGCCTAAATCCATCCGACGAGCTCATGAATAAAAGTTATACCCTTCAATGTTCTATATTAGAGAGTTCTGAGCGCCGTAAAATTGGGAAATTGAAGAGATATGGTAATGAACCTCTGGCCCGGACTTGGGGCTTCCAATTCTGAGCATTTTGGATGCTATTGGGCTCGAAAGTGGCGCTATTTTGCCATGTTGTGGAGGGATCGTTTTTCAAGATGGCTACTTTTCCGCTTTGGGGAAAACAGGGGTCGTCTTCTTTGGGTGAGAAAATCTCGAAAAGTCAATGGTCAACCAACCAAGAAATGAAAAGAAAACGAAAGATGACATGTTGATCATCATTTTTCTGTGCAGCTTGAATACCTGTGAGAGTTCTGAGTATTTTTAAAAGAATTTTGAATTATGGGCATTTAGCACTAGTGTCTATGGGAATTTATTTGCAAGGTTGCATCCATCTGAAAGGGAAGGCACTGTCTGTTCGAGAACAACCAAAATGACATTCAGGCGCGGATCAAGAATTTTTTAGACGGGGGGCACACTGTTGGAGCAAAATTATTTGCTCCGAGAACTAATGCGAGCGCGAAGCGCGGAGCCCTTACGGCGTGGGGTCCGGGGCCCGCTGTAGGGCCCCGGAAAATTTTGGATTCTAGATGCTCTGTGGTGCAATCTGAGGCGATTCCTGGCTCCTTTCCCCTGAATTAGTTGAGCAACAGTTTTTAAGATTTTAAGGATTTTTTAAAAACATACTCTTACTTTTACAATTTTTAAGTTACTGTGTGCTTGAAAGTCGAAAATCATTTTACGTCTTTATATTTTCTTGCTTTTTATTTTGGAAAAGGAATTGTATTGACTTAGTTTTGTAAACTGTCGCAACGGTGCGTTGTGGCATTTGCTCCGAGGACTAATGCGAGGGCGGATCACGCCTGTCTTACGGCGTGGGGTTCCGGGGCCCGCTTAAGGGCCCCGGAAAATTTAGAATTCTAGATGCTCTGTGGTGTATTCTGAGGGGATTCCTGGCCCCCTTTCCCCATAGTTATTTGAGCAAAACGTTTTAAGATTATAAGGATGTTTTTCATTGGTTTATAATATACTCTTGCGTTTACAAGCCTTTTCAGTTTCTTCTGTTCTTCACTTGTGTAACAAAACATTTTCGTCTGCATAGTTATTTCCGTGCTTATTTTTGAAAAGGAATTGAATCTTGCAAGGATGAGTATAAGGCATCTTTCCAAAGACCAATGCGGAGCGCGAACATCTTTCGGCGTGGGTCCGGGGCCCACTTAAGGGCCCCGGGAAATTTTGGATTCTAGATGCTCTGTTGTGCAATCTGAGGCAATTCCTGGCCCCTCTTATCCGGAGTTATTTAAGTAAATTGTTTTAAGATTATGAGATCTTTTCATTGATTAAAATATAATCTTGCTTTTACAAGCCTTCTCAGTTTCTTCTGTTCTTCACTTGATACCATGTATTTTCGTCTGCATGTGTCTTCGTGCATTATATTTTTTTTTTAAGGAATTGTAAATACTTAGTTTGTAAACTGGTGTAAGGATGCTTTCTAATGTTTTGTTTCAAGTTGAAATTTTCAGTTTATCAACAAGAAGAAACCGCCTGAACATGTTAATTGAATTCAAGTTTAAAATTAGTGTAATTTAATCAAACTAAAACATAGGAGCAATTAGCCTGCATTGTAACTTCACAGCTCAGTTTTATATCATGACTACAGAAATTAATCATACGGTCATCCAAGTTTCTACCTCTTTTTTTTGCATAATGTAAAATGCCCAAACATTTTAAAGAAATGTTCTTTTAATTCAGTTAAGTTTCAATTTCAAGAATAGGGCCTATTGCACGTGCATGTATTTGTAAATAAACCATCGGCAGATCGGCGGCGCAGCAAGACAAATTGTGTGGGACACTGCGTCTGGTTTTTACATTATAATAGACATCGGGTCTTTCGGCGCCATGATTGCAATTTCCGCATGGTACAATTTTGAAGGTGGATTCGTCATTTAGTTATGTGTAAAACAAATTACAGTAAATAATTGTTGATGATAACGTTGAGAAATAGACATCGGGAATAGGTGTATACCTCCCGGTCCGGCACGGATGCCGGCCGGAGTAATTTTTATTCCTAGGAGGGTTAGGGGCAATGTCATGAATAATTCAGTAGTTTCGATGGGAAAATTATGTTTATCCATGAGAACGGACAATGACTTCAACAGCATTGTTGTTAGTTACTCAACCAGTTACAATACATTAAAGCATTTTAAAGAACGGTTGTCGTCGAGCTACCACACAGTAGCCTAGTGGATAGCGAGATGAGATTATGGATACGGATCCCTGGTTCGAATCCACGTCGTCGCTGCTCATTTTCATCAGCTATTTTTCTTCTCCAAATTTATCACTGAGATAATTTTAAATTAAGGGGAAAATAGAACGAGAACCTATAAGTCTTGCAATGATTCAAAGGAAAAACGGAATAATTCATGACATTGCCCCTAACCCTCCTAGGAAAAAAATTACGCCGACCCGCGTCGCCACCGGCGAACTACGATCAAATTTATCCCGCTTGCAATTCAAAAACTAACACACTTGCTTTCTGTCTAGCTTGCAAGAGCATGTCTCGAGTGCTAAAACTTGCCTTTGGGCAATAACTGCTGATTGATTTGGCCTCAGACAAACAGATCTCTTTTATGTACCAAACTTTTCAGATTTGTATTTTCTGCAACGCGTAGTAACGTCAAAACCCAACTTTTGGATCTCAACTTTCTTCGTTAAAAAAACGTTTTATGGACGGATCCATGACCTTCAGGGGTGTTTCAATTTTTCAGGGTTTTACATCGTTTCTCGAATAAAGTCTTTACGAAACTTATATGATGACGTGACGTTGAAGAAGTCAATTTAAAACGAGGACATGTTTTGGACTTCGTGAAAAAAGTATAATTTGTAATTCAAAGCTCGTGGAACTGCTGGCAAATTGTTCTTACTAAAACACACCCTTAACTAATGGTTTGGTCCAAAGAGCACTGCGCAACGTGTGTTTGTCGCGCACATAAAGCTGCATGTTCATTGAGAATAAATCGTGTACGTTCGTATGAATCGCATTTAATAACGGTATATGCAGGGTAATACGTACGCACGTACGCACGGGGTACGTACGATGGGATCGCGGTTTATTTCGAAGCTTCTCGAGTCGAGTACGCAATGTTTGCAGGCTCATGTTTAATATCGGCGCCGGTGACAGGTGTCGTGCCAAAAACCGTCCGGTGCCAAATAGTGTCCGCTGAGCATGCGCAGTGGGCGCCAGACACTATTTGGCATGTAATACATGCCAAATAGTGTCCGATGCCAAATAGTGTCCGGTGTCACGGTCTCACTTCTCGGGCGTGCTAGCTTCTCCGGCTGGATTCGGCGGATATTTGAGCACGTTACAGGGCACGTTGCATGAGCACGATACATGCTCAAGTGTCCGCTGTGCTTACTTTTCTTGGGGCTGTTCTCAAGTCCATAAATAACACAGTGAGGAACACCAAAGAATGTGTTATATAACACTTCCTGTGGGTCTTGCAACTAGCATTCTGATTTGTGATCCCAGCGTCATGTACGCACGTGTGCGTGTTCATTGAGGAATAATTAAGAACGAAATCCTTGGTCTGTGTTCCTTGCTCGTTCGCGGTCCATCACATGTCCAATTTGTCTTTATTTTTAGTCTTTTTGGTTATTGGGAGTTGCGAGCGGGCGCGCCGCGCTACCAAAATTCTGGATTCGACTGGTACCCAGTAACGTGTACATACAATATCTTAAGATCTTACGTGCACCATCCCAAAGAACTCAGCACACAAATAAAGTTGGCAAAATAAAGTACAATAAAGTTGTACACTACTGCGCAATTTTGTGCATGCGTGTTGCAGCGAAATTTCCCTCTTGGAGAAGCTAGCACGCCGGAGAAGGGAGACCGTGACACCTGTCGCCGTCGTTCCAACACAAGGGCGCACGTACGTCCTGCCGGACACTTATTTGGCAGGAAAAATCGGACAGTATTTTGCAAAAGTGAATCGGACAATATTTGGCAGGGCGGGGAATCAGACAGTATTTGTTGGCAGGAAAAATCGGACTATATTTGGCAGGAAAAATCAGACAATTTTTTTTGCAGGGAAAATCGGACAGTATTTTGCAAGGGGGAATCGGACACTATTTGGCAGGGGGAATCGGATAGTATTTAGCAGGGAAAATCGGACAGTATTTGGCAGGGGGGTCGGACAGTATTTTGCAGGAAAAATCGGACAGTATTTTGCAGCCGGGAAAAATCGGACAGTATTTTGCAAAAAAATCGGACAATATTCAGTGGCAGGGTGAATCGGACAATGATATTTGGCAGGGGGAATCGGATAGTATTTAGCAGGAAAAATCGGACAGTATTTGGCAGGAAAATCGGACAATATTCAGTGGCAGGGGGAATCAGACAATATTTGGCAGACAATATTTGGTGTTTTCATTTTTTACTCAAATTTGACGGGGGGCACGTGCCCCCGCGGCCCTCCCCTGGATCCGCGCATCATGAATATTGGATTTGCCTTGAATATTCATTTATAAGATGGATCCGCCCATACAGTTTCGCCGCGAATTTTAACGACTAGGCTATGTGTTGACATCGTATTGTTTGTAAGGTTAAGTACATGTAAAACGTTTCTCAAGTTTTATAGTATTTATTTAGGCGCTATTATTATTATTATTTTTTTTGGAGGGGGGGGGGGTTGTTTTTAAAATTAACTTTCAAACAGGAAGAATTATTGTGTTCTTGTGAAGATAACAAAAGTATATGCATAAAATACGAGCCTTTAAACGTACCAGCCCACTCACTTCAATTTAATTCTGTGACATTTATTTGGTGCATCCGATTAAATGAACAAGCTGTAAAATTGTTCGGAAAAATAAATGCACCAGGGTTAGCTGTAAAAAAAAAAATTAAACAGGAACAATTTTTGTACCAGGTATGTTAAAAAAAAATAATAATAACTTAAAGAATTTCTGTATAAACGACAATGACGATATCTTTAATGTACCAGTTCAACCGGTGACATGACACGTACATGTAGTCCATAATAAGTAGGCCTATACCCCTGTTTTCCCACCGAAAGGCTGCATTTGCAACCAAAATGACATATTCCCCACGTTTTTAGTGTTTTCCCAGAACCAAAATCACGAATAATCCACCAAAAAATATGTCCGTCCACCAAAATGACATGTCATCCGCCAACCAAAATGATGTGTTGTCAACCAAAATACGTGTTTTATTCCACCCCAAAAAATGTGTAGCCCACCAAAATGACGTGTCGCCCACCAAAATGACGTGTTCCACCAAAATGAAATATGTAGCCGCCACCAAAATGACATGTCGCCCACCCAAATGAAGTGTCGTCAACAAAAATGACGTGTCGCCCACCAAAATGACGTGTCTTCCACCAAAATGACATGTAGCCCACCAAAATGACGTGTCGCCCACTAAAATGACGTGTCGCCAACCAAAATAACATGATGTAATTCCACCAAAATGACGTACGTACCTATCGTCAACCAAAATGACATGTAGCCCCCCCCCCCCCAAATGTGGTGTCGCCAACCAAAATGACATATATCACCAACCCGCAAAATGACGTTTCACCCACCAAGACGACGTACGTGTCGTACGTCCACCAAAATGATGTGTCGTCCACCAAAATGACGTGTCGCCCACCGACCAAATGACATGTCTATATATAGAAATGTCATCTGGTCATAGACTCATATCTTCATGCATGGTGTAAATAAATCCACCAACTAAAATAGATGGAGGAATGGTCTCAAACGCAAAACCCAGTGCCAATATTATAGGTTGGATTTTATTAACTTCTTTATTAGATAATTTTGTAATATTAGGCAATATACAATACAGGCAGACAGGCCAATTCCCTTTAACATTTAATGGGCATAAATTCATTACTTCTACTTCATTCGGACTCGTTCAGTCACGGAGAAAACTGAGGTCCCGTAGTTCAGTATGTGGAGGATCATCGATCAGCTGCAGGAAGCAGCCAGTTCCAGGCACACCATACCATACATATCTGTACAGCAAATTTTACGTTATAAATATTCACACATGACGACATGTAAATTATCATATTTGAATATGCACAAGGTATGACGATCTGTCATTTTGGTGGTTCTCCATAAGTGCTTACCGCGATACCGCGTTACCGCGATAATTTATCGCAGTAACTAATCAGGAATTCAAAAAAGAAGTCCGCTGACTAGAAAATCCTAGTTAAACCTAACACATGAGGGCGCCCTCTTAAAAAATAGTAGCGCACTAATCGAGTTGCCAATGCAATCAGTACAGTGAAATGAATGTAAAACTTTTCACTAATTTCAGTTTAAGGACTTTGCCGATTACTGTTCCCTCCTCCATACTATTACTAGCGATGAAAATAGTCCTACACTGACTATCAGATGAACCCTCGGTATGGCTAGTTTTGCTCCCAAATTTTGGAAACCCGGTAAGTATAGTCGGACTCCCTATTATCGCGGCATCCCTATTATCGCGGCATGGGAAATTTCTCTTTTTACAGTGTCAAAACTCCTTCAAGTGGCGATTTTTATCCAGTTCACCAGTCATCAAATATTTTCTACCGAAATGTATAAAAAGGACGATTAAAAAATGTTGTGTCTTTCGGGACTTTTAACGATTTTAATAAATATTAACGTTTTCCAAAACTTGCAAAATTTTCCCTCACCGTGTCTGCTAAAAGGTACCGTTTATATTTTAACATAAATCTTTAATTGCGCTCTGTCCATGAAAGTTCCATTGTCTGGTTCCTATTCTTCAGCTGCAAATGTAAAATGAAGTCGAACGATGATATTTGCAGCGCGAAATCGTAACAACTTTTACGGGATCAAAATAAGCACCGCGCGTTAGCGAAAATAAAACGGCACACCGTGTAAAGTGAATGGCGCCCTCGATCGCCGATCAGTAGACTTGCCTCAGGGATTTGTGTTCTCCTTTCGGGGGAAGGGCAGGGTCTTAAGAAATCATCCTGCAGACATTTTGTCTTTAATCAACTTGAACGTTACAGGGAAAATATCAGACTTTATTCAGGGGGTGTTTTGGTCAAAGATAAACTATGAACAAAAAAGTTGGGATCATTATAAAAACCACTTCCCGCATACCGCGATAATAGGGAGTCCACCTCCGTTCGCACACGCCGCGCATGTCTATTTTCACAGGCATCGTACACGAAATAAACCACACCACCCGTCAGATTTTTTTATATTAATTTATAAAGGAAGAGTTATACTACACATAAGACAGGACAATTCTGGAAGGTTAGTGGGCAATCTCTATTCCGAACGAGAAACGTGATAAGTACCGCGATAATACGGCGTGCCGTTCTAAGTTAGGCTGTTACTGTCAGGGCCGGGTGTCGGACGCTTCGCCCCATTTCCACTTCCATGACTTCGCCCCATGTCACTTCGCCCCTAACCACTTCGCCCCATCCCCACTCCGCCCCATCCCTACTTCGCCCCATTCCCACTTCGCCCCATTCCCACTTCGCCCCATCCCCACTTCGCCCCATCCCCACTTCGCCCCATCCCCTTTTCGCCCCATCCCCACTTTGCCCCAGCCGTTACTCCTACATCTATGAGGTGCACTTGTACGCATGCACATACTATCATTTCGCCTGTACCGTACCCCCCGCGGCGCGCTCCGAGCGAACCGAAAATCATCGCTCGATCATATGCGTGCACGTTTCAAGTGTCAGGTTGGCTCAGTGCGGAAAGGGCATATTTTTCATCATTTTGGCCTAAAAACCGACAGAATCCACCTATGTTACATGATGTTAGTTCTGCGCATGATACGTGAGTATGTCAAGAGGTAAAGTACGGAGTATAGGGGCAAACTGTGCAGCGGTTCTGTGTGAAATGTCTCCATTTTGATGGACGTTTTTGTACTTTATTAGTGTTTTGTGCTGCAGACAATTTTGCGGGCTTCTACATCTATGAGGCTCCGCTCAGTATTAAAAAATACTATTTCAAACTCGTCTTCAAAGATCGGGCTCCATTATTTTGTAATGCTTATTCTCGTCAAACCAAGCATTATTAAAAATACTATTTAATATTAAGGCCATAACTTAAACTTACCAGGTAGTCGAATCATGTATCGCATTTTTGGCTGTTTCGGCACTTTTGCCGAAACAGCCTTTGTTTTCGTTAAGATTTTTTTTTTTTTTGGTTGTTTCGGCACTTTTGCCGAAACAGCCTTTGTTTTCGTTAAGATTTTTATTTTTTGGCTGTTTCGGCACTTTTGCCGAAACAGCCTTTGTTTTCGTTAAGATTTTTATTTTTTGGCTGTTTCGGCACTTTTGCCGAAACAGCCTTTGTTTTCGTTAAGATTTTTTTTGGCTTTTTCGCAAAATTTGCGAAACAGCCTTTCTTTTTGTTCTGATTTTTCTTTGGCTTTTTCGCAAAAACGCCTTTCTTTTTGTACTGATTTTTGAGTGGTAGGGCACAACCCGACCACTCTTTGGATTTGTTGCGATTAATCTTTCTTTCTTTCTTTCTTTCTTTTTTTTCCGTACAGCACGTTTCCACGGGTTTTCTCCTAAACGGTATATGATATGAACTTGTAACTATTAGCATACATTGACCCTCATTCCCCGAGTAGTGCATATTACACTGACGTCATGATGACGTCATCGGGTGTCAAATTACAAGCGATCGTTGAAAAAAATGACGATCTTCTTTCTTCTATAACTCTTCAACAAAATGATCAATTATGCTCCAACCTTGTAATCCGATTGATATTGATAAACATTTTTTGTCGTGTACGTAAACTCGCTTGACCTTTACTTCCGGGTCTACCGGAAGGTTAAAGTTAGGTGAATTCAAATTGAAGACATTAGCCTGAAATCGAAACAAAGCACAATTTCTTCCGAACGGTTTGCGGTATGATCATAAAACCTACTGTGAACTTGTACCAGGTTACGAAGATGTTATAAATGTTGTTATTATTAAAATAATTTGACCTATATCTCTTGAACTAAATAGAGTATCGTGTTCGTTTTTTCGTGAGGTTGTAGACGGTGCCTAGAGCAACATTTCTAATTCCCGGGCACTAAACTGCTTGACCTTTACTTCTGGTGTTACCGGAAGTGCAATAGAAACTGAATCTTACTCTAAAACGGAAGCATTTTACTACAGACAAATACATTATGGAAGTGTTAAGTGAGGAATGCCAATCACAAAAACATAATTTTGACGTCATCCCACTAGAAGGCGCCCTCTAGCGGCACATCGAAAACCGTTTAATCTTTTAAAATGTTACAGCCCTCAATCAAATTTTTATGATATATTGCCCCTATATATCCCCTTATGCAACCACAAATGAATTTGCAAGGTTTCATAATCATGACATCATCAGACCGGAAGTTACTGAAAATAAATGTTGTTATTATTAAAATAATTTGACCTATATCTCTTGAACTAAATAGAGTATCGTGTTCGTTTTTTCGTGAGGTTGTAGACGGTGCCTAGAGCAACATTTCTAATTCCCGGGCACTAAACTGCTTGACCTTTACTTCTGGTGTTACCGGAAGTGCAATAGAAACTGAATCTTACTCTAAAACGGAAGCATTTTACTACAGACAAATACATTATGGAAGTGTTAAGTGAGGAATGCCAATCACAAAAACATAATTTTGACGTCATCCCACTAGAAGGCGCCCTCTAGCGGCACATCGAAAACCGTTTAATCTTTTAAAATGTTACAGCCCTCAATCAAATTTTTATGATATATTGCCCCTATATATCCCCTTATGCAACCACAAATGAATTTGCAAGGTTTCATAATCATGACATCATCAGACCGGAAGTTACTGTAGGGAGAATTCAACAACGAGCCCCCTGGCCTTCAAACTTCGCACTGCTTTCTGCTGTTTCAATCTCTTATTGGTCATTTTGTTGATTCTCCACTTCTTCCATCGATTCACATGTCTTTCAACATACAGTTGTGTATGCCACAGGAACAAACATATACACAGGTTCTGATTCACACACATGTTCAGCATTAGACTCAAGCATGCCTGTACGTTCTTGTATGAACTCAATAATACACAATGGGATTGCATTTTGTCCACACTTTGATTCTTGTTGGAAATTTGGTTTCCACACATCCCCTGATATAAATCTTGAGTATAGTATATTATGTCGTATTTTTGACCTTTGCATTTTTTTTTGCTAAAGAAGGAATTTTTGTCATTTTTGGATAGAGTTTACCTTCCTCAGCCAGAAATCCATTGGTAACATTTTTTTCCATCTACCATGTGGCGGCCATCTTGGATTTAAAAATGGCGTCCATTTCGGACCTAATTTGTATCATAACTTCGGACCTGACTGTCACATGAAGTCCATTTTGGTGGCAAACCCCATGTTTTTGATACCAAGGAACCCACGTAAATCATTGTTGATGGGGTACTCCCAATGGATGGCAGCCATCTTGGATATTTCAAAATGGCGTCCATTTAGTACCTAATTTGTATCATAACTTCAGACCTGATTGTCATATGAAGTCCATTTTGGTGGCAAACCCTATGTTTTTGATACCAAGGAATCCAAGTAAATCAATGTTGACGGGGTACTCCCAAAGGATGGCAGCCATCTTGGATATTTCAAAATGGCCGCCATTTAGTACCTAATTTGTATCATAACTTCGGAAGTTCGGACCTGATTGTCATATGAAGTCAATTTTGGTGGCAAACCCTATGTTTTTGATACAAGGAATCCAAGTAAATCAATGTTGACGGGGTACTCCCAATGGAAGGCAGCCATCTTGGATATTTCAAAATGGCCGCCATTTCGGACATAATTTGTATCATAACTTCGGACCTGATTGTCATATGAAGTCCATTCGTGGCAAATCCTATGTTTTCGATAGCAAGGAACCCAAGTAAATCAAATTTGACGGGGTAGTCCCAATGGATGGCAGCCATCTTGGATACTTAAAAATAACCGCCATCTTGGATTTCATTTTAATAATAACTTACGTTGCACCTGAACGTTCGTATGAAGTCCATTTTGGTGGCAAACCGCATTAATTTGATACCAAGGAATCTAAAAAATACATTATTGATGAGGTATCCCCGATGGATGGCAGCCATCTTGGATATTTCAGAATGAGCGCCATTTTGCAGTTTAGTTTTTAAAGGGTTTCTATTGCACAGTGACAAGTGTTGACCATTCCTGGACTGGATTGTTGATTATTGGCAATAGTAGAGAGGCATAGTGACAGAATTGTGCACTTTGTGGTTAAACTTGGCATATCACGTCTTCATGCCTTGACGAGAATTTTTGAGAAATGGAGGCATTTCATATCTGACCCCTGGTGACCTTATTGTGAAGGGTCAATGAAGGGGAAGAATGTAGAATCCACATGCCACTTCAGCAGTTGTGTACAAAGTCTATGGAGAGTCAAGAAAGTTTTTAAAGTTTTTTCTTAACAAAA